AATACGGCAGCCGATCGGGGAATGGCATGTCTTTTCATGATCAGGAGGCTCCTGTGAGTCGACTGCCATATTAAAAAAGGACATCCACTTTTTCACGATTTTCGCAGAAAATCATGATGTAACCATCATTAAATTTTCAAAAAATCGGCCCCATTTTCGAAGCCGAGATTTTGATGCCGATCGACAGTCCGGATCCTCGCGATTCTGGGACAGTTGGTCCTTTACCGATCTGGCCCTATTTGTCTGAGATATAGGCTTCCGAAGATTCGCATTTTATTATTTGTATGTAATACTGGTTTTTTCTGTACGCTATATCTCAGCAATACGGCAGCCGATCGGGGAATGGCATGTCTTTTCATGATCAGGAGGCTCCTGTGAGTCGACTGCCAGATTAAAAAAGGACATCCACTTTTTCACGATTTTCGCAGAAAATCATGATGGTTACATCATTAAATTTTCAAAAAATCGGCCCCATTTTCGAAGCCGAGATTTTGATGCCGATCGACAGTCCGGATCCTCGCGATTCTGGGACAGTTGGTCCTTTACCGATCTGGCCCTATTTGTCTGAGATATAGGCTTCCGAAGATTCGCATTTTATTATTTGTATGTAATACTGGTTTTTTCTGTACGCTATATCTCAGCAATACGGCAGCCGATCGGGGAATGGCATGTCTTTTCATGATCAGGAGGCTCCTGTGAGTCGACTGCCATATTAAAAAAGGACATCCACTTTTTCACGATTTTCGCAGAAAATCATGATGTAACCATCATTAAATTTTCAAAAAATCGGCCCCATTTTCGAAGCCGAGATTTTGATGCCGATCGACAGTCCGGATCCTCGCGATTCTGGGACAGTTGGTCCTTTACCGATCTGGCCCTATTTGTCTGAGATATAGGCTTCCGAAGATTCGCATTTTATTATTTGTATGTAATACTGGTTTTTTCTGTACGCTATATCTCAGCAATACGGCAGCCGATCGGGGAATGGCATGTCTTTTCATGATCAGGAGGCTCCTGTGAGTCGACTGCCAGATTAAAAAAGGACATCCACTTTTTCACGATTTTCGCAGAAAATCATGATGGTTACATCATTAAATTTTCAAAAAATCGGCCCCATTTTCGAAGCCGAGATTTTGATGCCGATCGACAGTCCGGATCCTCGCGATCCTCGGACAGTTGGTCCCTTACCGATCTGGCCCTATTTGTCTGAGATATAGGCTTCCGAAGAATCGGATTCGCATTTCATTATTTGTATGTAATACTGGTTTATTTCTGTACGCTATATCTCAGCAGTACGGCAGCCGATCGGGGCATGGCATGTCTTTCCATGATCAGGAGGCTCCTGTGAGTCGACTGCCATATTAAAAAAGGACATCCACTTTTTCACGATTTTCGCAGAAAATCATGATGTAACCATCATTAAATTTTCAAAAAATCGGCCTCAGTTGCGAAGCCGAGATTTTGATGCCGATCGACAGTACGGTTCTTCGCCATCCTGGGACAGTTGATCCTTTTTCAATCTGGCCCTATTTGTCTGAGATATAGGCTTCCGAAGATTCGGATTCGCATTTCATTATTTGTATGTAATACTGGTTTATTTCTGTACGCTATATCTCAGCAGTACGGCAGCCGATCGGGGCATGGCATGTCTTTCCATGATCAGGAGGCTCCTGTGAGTCGACTGCCATATTAAAAAAGGACATCCACTTTTTCACGATTTTCGCAGAAAATCATGATGTAACCATCATTAAATTTTCAAAAAATCGGCCTCAGTTGCGAAGCCGAGATTTTGATGCCGATCGACAGTACGGTTCTTCGCCATCCTGGGACAGTTGATCCTTTTTCAATCTGGCCCTATTTGTCTGAGATATAGGCTTCCGAAGATTCGGATTCGCATTTCATTATTTGTATGTAATACTGGTTTATTTCTGTACGCTATATCTCAGCAGTACGGCAGCCGATCGGGGCATGGCATGTCTTTCCATGATCAGGAGGCTCCTGTGAGTCGACTGCCATATTAAAAAAGGACATCCACTTTTTCACGATTTTCGCAGAAAATCATGATGGTTACATCATTAAATTTTCAAAAAATCGGCCCCATTTTCGACGCCGAGATTTTGATGCCGATCGACAGTCCGGATCCTCGCGATTCTGGGACAGTTGGTCCTTTACCGATCTGGCCCTATTTGTCTGAGATATAGGCTTCCGAAGATTCGCATTTTATTATTTGTATGTAATACTGGTTTTTTCTGTACGCTATATCTCAGCAATACGGCAGCCGATCGGGGAATGGCATGTCTTTTCATGATCAGGAGGCTCCTGTGAGTCGACTGCCATATTAAAAAAGGACATCCACTTTTTCACGATTTTCGCAGAAAATCATGATGGTTACATCATTAAATTTTCAAAAAATCGGCCCCATTTTCGAAGCCGAGATTTTGATGCCGATCGACAGTCCGGATACTCGCGATCCTCGGACAGTTGGTCCCTTACCGATCTGGCCCTATTTGTCTGAGATATAGGCTTCCGAAGAATCGGATTCGCATTTCATTATTTGTATGTAATACTGGTTTATTTCTGTACGCTATATCTCAGCAATACGGCAGCCGATCGGGGAATGGCATGTCTTTTCATGATCAGGAGGCTCCTGTGAGTCGACTGCCATATTAAAAAAGGACATCCACTTTTTCACGATTTTCGCAGAAAATCATGATGGTTACATCATTAAATTTTCAAAAAATCGGCCCCATTTTCGACGCCGAGATTTTGATGCCGATCGACAGTCCGGATCCTCGCGATTCTGGGACAGTTGGTCCTTTACCGATCTGGCCCTATTTGTCTGAGATATAGGCTTCCGAAGATTCGCATTTTATTATTTGTATGTAATACTGGTTTTTTCTGTACGCTATATCTCAGCAATACGGCAGCCGATCGGGGAATGGCATGTCTTTTCATGATCAGGAGGCTCCTGTGAGTCGACTGCCATATTAAAAAAGGACATCCACTTTTTCACGATTTTCGCAGAAAATCATGATGTAACCATCATTAAATTTTCAAAAAATCGGCCCCATTTTCGAAGCCGAGATTTTGATGCCGATCGACAGTCCGGATCCTCGCGATTCTGGGACAGTTGGTCCTTTACCGATCTGGCCCTATTTGTCTGAGATATAGGCTTCCGAAGATTCGGATTCGCATTTTATTATTTGTATGTAATACTGGTTTTTTCTGTACGCTATATCTCAGCAATACGGCAGCCGATCGGGGAATGGCATGTCTTTTCATGATCAGGAGGCTCCTGTGAGTCGACTGCCATATTAAAAAAGGACATCCACTTTTTCACGATTTTCGCAGAAAATCATGATGTAACCATCATTAAATTTTCAAAAAATCGGCCCCATTTTCGAAGCCGAGATTTTGATGCCGATCGACAGTCCGGATCCTCGCGATTCTGGGACAGTTGGTCCTTTACCGATCTGGCCCTATTTGTCTGAGATATAGGCTTCCGAAGATTCGGATTCGCATTTCATTATACATACTATGTACATATGTATGTATTACTGGTTTTTTTCTGTATACTATATCTCTGCAATACGGATCAGGAGAGTCCTGCACTCAGTAAAACACAACTTTTTCTGAGCTTTCTTTAATATCGGGTAGTTGGTAGATTTGTAACGTAAGAACTAAATAGCTTGTTGAAAACATTTTAATATTCATTTAAAAACGAAAATTAATCGCTGGAAAAGTTATCTTCTTAAATATTTCTATTTATTTTTAAAGCGTTAGGCATTATTTCTAAAGATAAGGTTTGCGTCAGTATTTTCCTATGAGATTCAGCTTGAGGCCTTTCTGCCAATTTTTTAAATTTTCAATTAAATTAATTAGTCACGTGCAAAATGTATTTTCCAGATTTTTAAGCTAATATCCTGCCTGAAACTTATTTGGAAATTTCTTTAAGCTCTAAAGTTGAAAATGTGAAACAAAAACTTGGACCCATATGGGGATTTGGGGTAGTAAAGTGGCTCCAACTCCAACTACGGCTTTCCGCCGCCGCCACTTGACTCTAGACAGACAGCCAGTGTATACACTCGTACACGGCTGCGAGTACACATATATAGAGCGACATAGAGGAATATATGGATGTACATAGGTATGCAGACATTTGTGTACGGACATGTCGGACTGCGTAAATGGAGGCACGGCACACACGACCTGCTGAGACTGCAGAGCGGTGGAGAGCAGCAACGAGGCGTATTTGGGATGCGAGTGAATATCTATCAATGTGCTTTCGGTTATTCATCAACGAAAATGTCTAAATTATTCAAATGGAAATGTGGAAATGTCGCCCGCGTCCGTCTCTGTCTCCCGCATCTCCCGATTCCCTTCTCAGTTGATGTTTTGTTTCTGTTCGTTTGGTTGCCTCATGGTCGGACCTGGTCTTGGACATGGACATGGTCTGAATTGATGAAGCGGCAGCAGACCGACAAACCGTTAGACGTATTACGTATACAAGGACCGTAGGAGAAGAAGCGGTGGGGGTAGGGGTAGGGGTAGGGGCAACCGCTAACAATGGCCTCGTCCTTCATCCTGATGCCCCATGTACCCGCAATGGCTTTGGTTATTTGGCCCTGTCTGTCACTGGCTTTGGGCTTCAACTGTATAAATGCTCGTTGGATTTGTGTCTAGTCAGGGATTTCTCTATATATGTATCTATGTTATATGTATCTACCACACCATCCATATATGTACATATGAGCACATACATACATATAAAGGAGTTCATTTAACTTCTGACATTTCGTTTGATGCGTTTCCATGGATTGTGGCACCATCGAGCGAACCTCATAACATACATAAATATAAGTTCCACTTTCCAAACTCTGGGATGAAATTAATTAGGGGCTTGGAAGTATTATTTGAAAGCCTGCTAAATTTGCTTTTCATCAGCCGTCACACACAAATATTAATTTCACAACATTTCGGCCACATAGAGTTTCACACAATCTGAATTTACAGCAAACACTTTTGGTCATCCCATAGGGGAAAATGTCCGGATTCCGTGTATTGGACGAGGAGGATCGCCTGATGCTAATATCGTGGCTCAAGGAGCATAACATCGAACTGAATCATCGCACCAGGACCGAGCTACGCGATGCTTTCGCGGTGGCCAAGATCTGTAAGAGGATCCACCCCGACTTGGTTGACCTCCAGGTCTACACGCCCAGGTGCAGCATGACCCAAATGCTGAACAATTGGAAGATATTTAACGACAGGGTTCTCAAGAAACTGGACCTGAACCTGTCCCATTTGATGCTCAAGGAGCTGGCAGGTGGGGCAGCGTGTGCCATTGAATCAATCCTCTATAAACTGATGACCACCGAGTATGCCCTGAAACGAGGAGAGGGCAAGTTCAGTCTAGCCAAGAAACCGCTAGACAGACAGACCAAGAGTGATTCACTAAAAGGTATCTGAATCCCTGAATCCCATGGACACAACCTATGGGGCTACAGAAAATTATAACAATGGCAGTCATTGACAAAAGGTGCAAAATTTAAACCGCAGAGTAACCAGAGAATCGAGCTTAAATAAATAAGTAAGCAAATTATATTTGTTGTTCTTAAAACATTGCAAATTAATTTACATTTACAACCTTTTGAGGGCACAAAACCCATTGCTTCGCACCACAAATGGTTTGGTTTTCTTCTGATGAATTTATGAGACATTGTGTTGTTGAACAGCGGCATTCGGCAAATTGTTGGCCAACTTGATTAAAAAATATGTGTACGAAAGTGGCAGACCTCTCACTGGAAGGAGTGTGTGTGTGGTTTGGCAAGGTGGAATTAGGTTCGAGTTGGGCGGATGCGGAGTCGAGTCGAGTAAAGTCGAGTCGAGTCGGGTGTTGTGTCGAGCTTGTAATGAGGCAGGGCTAATTAATTTGTATAATGTGCTGACTGAGAGACGACGACTGATAAGTGGCCGTAAACACACAAAGGCATCGTAAACCATATGTCTGACCCCAACCCAACCATACCCCTCTCACTCTCACTCTCAGAGCCGGCGGCCAATCAATTAGAGGACCTAAACACTTGAGAGCCCCTCGATCTGGTGCTGGTGCTGGTGCCGGTGCTGGCGCGAAGAGTAAAACGTTTATAGTGCGTGTAATCAGCTCTTAACTATAATTTATAAAACTGCATTTCTTGCACCGTCCGCACCAGTCCGCGTCATGGGTCCGTGTGTTGTGTGCAGCTTAACGCTTTTGGACTCTTGGGGCTCTGGCAACGCATCGGCACGACGGAAGCAATAAACTTCTGTATAATTAAATAAAATAAAATTAAAAATGTTAATGAGCTCTGAAAGAGAGGGAGAGAATAGAACAGAACACCTCACTCATCTACTGTAATCATGGGTGAGTCGATGAGTTGGCTCTCGGTCTGGGTCTTGGGGGTCTGGAACGCACTGCCTCCTCCCGACAACGCCCCTGTCCGCCCTGCCCGCCCAGCACCATCGGCTTGTAAACAATTTAGCGTGTCTCTTCATATTATATCATTAAAATTAATACGAGTTTGGCGTGCCGCAAGTTATTCACTTTGGCCCCTTCAAAGTGCGTCTAAAAATGCTATTCACGTTACCTCTGCCATGCCCCAAACGAAACCTATGCGCCTCCTTCCCCTTCTGAAGCCTTTTCTCCCGCCTGTTCTTCTGGCGGTTAACTAATGAGACAGACTGTAGACTGTAACTAAACTGTTGAATGTGTCCGACAAGGCTCAGATTAACGCAGAAATTCATCGCAGCTAAATCGAAGAAGGTAATCGAAGAGATATTATTTTTTAACTAGAGTCTAAAAACCTATTTCCGATCTGAGTCGAATGATCAGAGATTACCAGATTGAGATGAAAGGAAGCTATAACGATAGCCACAACAGCAGTAACAGTCGATAGTTGCATTAGCAAATGCACACCGATATATGGATCACCCCACACCGATGGCAGCTGTAATACCACCTTGGTCGGTACCAGTATTTGTTGATACGAGTATGTACATACATGTAAATAATTCAAGTTCAAAAAAGAGTGCGGCAATCGCTGGAAGTTCTGCTTAATTACCTCCATGAATCCGCAATCTTGTAACATCCATTAATACAAAAGGCAACCCACATAAATAATATAATTACAATTTAAAGACGTTCAATCAGAAAAACATAATTTATAAACTGGCCCATGTTTTAGCTCAAAAATCTTGCAATCTCTGGTTGCAAAACCAGGCTTCAAAACTCTCCTCCTGTGCGATGAGAATCTCTTAAGCCGCCGCCTTGAGCCTGACAAGACTTTACTCTGGCGATGATCGCCATCCAGATCCAGTCAGCGCTTTCGATATGCAAATAAGATGTTGGGCCTCAGCTCCAGCTCCAACGCCGGCCACTGCCACTGCCTCCGATCGACTTCTGCCAGCTGGCGGGCATTGTTGTGTTGGCCTAACACGACACTGACAAATGTTAATCCATTAAGGCCCTGTCAATGGGCAAATCTGTCACAACAGCGAGTGGAGAGCGGAAGGCTTTGGAGGGCGAGCGACGAGTAGAGGGTATTAGTTGTGCGACCTTAGAGCACAACTTAATTGGTGCAAGGTGCATTGCTCTTCGCCGGCATGGGCCTGGGATTTACAGAGACAAATGCGAATGCTAAACTTGGCTAACAACAAATTGGCAATCAGGCCAGGCCGTTCGCTTTGCCCACTGGGCAGGTGTTGGACAACTTAATGCGAAGTCCAGCCGGCCAGAGCCAGGAGCAGAGTCTCTGTGCGGATGAGTATGTGGAGCCTGCGTAGAGCGCGTGCCGTGTAAAATGTTTTAAGTGCCTGCTCATTAATCGTAATCGTCTCTGGCTGTAACATATGCCGCTCCATCTCCTTCTGCCACGTCTGCTGACTTTTATGATACCCTGTACGAATACTTGTTATATTCCTCAAAAGGGTTATCTACGCATCTACCAGCGAGTATCCGCTGGTCGGGTACGGAATACCTTTGGCTGCGAATTGACAGGATCGGGTGAGCTCTCCTTCGAGCTTTACTCGTTTGTCTAATTGAGAACTGGATAAACACCAAACCAAGCGCCTGCCTGCCCGCCTGCCTGGATGTGGGGTTACTCAGGGGCCCAACGCCTCTTTGTCATTTGTCAGAGTTCGTTTTTAGGTGTAAATATGTTAATGAGTGTGAATAATTTCCTAGAATTTCGTGTGTGTGTGTGCACACACTCGCACACTACTCGATTTGCCGATAGTCGTTGGGTTGAGTTCTAGTCTTAATTGGAATTGCCAAGGCATACCGACGTATGACGTATGCCGACGATTAATTTCGCTCTGTGCGTAATCAAGTCAAAAATTTATTGAAGTTGCAATAAATGCGCCCAAGGCAGCGGCAGCGGCAGCGGTAGCGGTAGGGGCAGGGGAGCACCACAGAGGCAGGCAGCAGCCGCACCTCGCTGTTTGCGGCTGGGGCGGAGACGGAGGGTCTCATTAGAAAAGCTTCAAAAGCTTTCGCCTGCGTGCGTTTGATTGGAGGACGTAGACGCTGAAGTCTTCGATAAAGTCAGCCTCAAAGTCAGACCAGACATACGGCTGCTAAAGGTACACAGAGAGAAATTATCTCATTGAAATAATGCCCGTACATCAAAATACCATCGATACAATATAAATTTAATTTAATGCACTCAATGGATATTCAACATAATTTGTATGGAACTGGGCCACAAATACAAGACTATTCTAGCGATAAATTCACTTGATGACACCGTTGGCCATCTTGACCAGATCCAACAACGAGTGGGTGGAAGTGCCCATGTGGCCGGGCTGATCATTTTGGGAACCCTCCTGTACCACGTCCCACTGGGGACGTTGCGGCTTGTCTTGGGTCTCTCCTGGAGCGATGGATGGATCTTCGTCTGCATAGATGGTGGCCACTACTGAGCCGGCTCCTTCGATCAGCGCCATCACCAGACACCCAAAAATCGCACTACTTGCCATTTGCCGGATACCCTGGCGGGCGGCGAGTATGCCACCAGTTGCGGCGCCGCTCATAATCGTGTTCCAGGAGTCCTCCTGCTGTCTGTAGTGGACCAGCGTGCAGTCCACCGTGCTGAAGGTGGCACCCCAAACGGCAAAGCTGCCGGCGATCCCGGGGGTCCTTAGCTTCACCGAAACCAGTCCGTCACTGAACCGGCGACGCAGTCCCGCCGGGGCATCTCTGAATCCCTTCATATACTGGAACAGGGCCCCGCCAATGGTGCCCATCATGAAGGCACAGCCGGTATCTTCGACAATCCGTATGGGACAGGGCTGACGAATGTACTCCATTCTGTACGCAATCTCACTATGACTTTTTTCTGTTTGAATTTTTTTTTTCCCAATCGTCTAACGTGTGTGTTTTCGAATGGATCCTGGGGTCTATATGATTTTAAAGCTAGTGCTGCCTGTGACTTTTGATTCAAATCGGATAGGATCGAAGGGGAGTTGTGTATAAAAATAGGAAAGGTGTTTTCTTATAGCTATTGGGGAGTGCTTTGGTGCACATCATTTGTGATATATTTAAACTATATTAATTCTAGTCCTGATATGGAAATACACCTTAATACAAACAGGGGAATCAAATAAACCATTATATAACAATAAACAGCTGATCTAGTCGTTACCCTTACTCGTTACTTTACATTCAAGACCGAACGAGAAGAGAATGCCGAAATAAAAGTAAGAAATTTAAAATTTTTAATTTCTGATTTTATTTCCGCATTTTATTACGTGCAATAATACTTAAATATTTAATTAAAATATGTTGTAACATATTTATACATTTTCGCTGTTCAGTGCATAAGATGGTGGTTTTCAGTTCAGGTGGTCTCAGTCGATGTCATGGACCATTTAGAAGCTCTATTTCCATTTCCCACCCTTGGCTTGCGGTTTTCTCAGACTCGTATCATGCGACAGCCGGGTTCCATATGGGCTTTTGGGGCATGGAGAGGCAGAGCAGTTTCAAGTTTCACGCATGAATTGTAGCATAACTTTTGTTGTTCTTGTGCAGTCGAGAGTCAAGGGGAACCAAGTCGCGCTATAATATGCCGCCTTCTAAGTTTGGGGACCCCAGAGGGGAATACGCACACGATTTTCCCAGCCTTAAATTTAATTCTCAATCAATGATTAATATTGCTTGAGTGAAGAAGCAATTAAGGTATATCGAATGAAGTTTAAAGGCCTTATCGCCTCTGGAGCTCAACTATTCGAAGGACTTTTTCCGCATTCACATATTCTTGCAATCCCAAAGAATTCCTCTGGAGAAAAAAATAATAGTTTTGTGTGACCTGTTTTCAATTTGGAACACACATTTCGTACTGCTCGGGGTTCGGTATCGGGAGAGGCATGCCAAAGGGCTGGGGAAAAAACAAACTGAAACAAAGAAATGAAACCCTCAAAAGTCAAGGCTTATCTTTCCTGCTCTCTCTCCGTCTCTCTGTCTCCCTGTTACCTTTTCTCCCGCCTCTTACCTGGGTCAGTGAGGCATTGCCAATGGCCTGGGGGCTAGCAGTTAGCCTGGACTCCACTCCTTCTCCCACCTGCTGCCTGCTGCCTGCTGCATACCCAGGCCATACCCAGATTCTTCGGCCTTCCGTTCCCCCCTCCCCCAAGCCAGACATTAAATTTATTACTTAACAGAAACAAGGGCTACTCATGAGAGCCGAAACATTACATACCCTTACGGATACATACATAAGCCCAAATATTCTTGTAGAATTTTCAGAGAAGATTTGACCTGATTTTCTACATATAGCCACATCTTTAAAACTCTCTAAAATTCGTAGTGCCATCCTCTGTAAGGGCATCCAAAGTTGACCCAAAAAAAAAAGAAAAGAAAACCTTTCGGAAGGGTTCCGCAAAAAAGAAGTCGAAAAATTAAAGCAATTGCATGCTTTGCATAATTTCTGTAAACAAAGTGGTGCTGGTGGTGGCTCAAGATCCAAAGTGGTTTCTTCCAGCTGTCAGGGGCATTCGGTTGGATGGTGGGGTATTCGATGGTGGGGGGGTGGGGGGGGGTGGTGTCTTCTTAAGCTGCCAAGAAACGCGCGAAAATGCGAGTTAATCCATGGCCTGACTTTTGCCGCTTTGTTTTTAAGCTTCGCTGATTTGGATTTTCCCGCTCCCCATATCCCATATGCCATATGCCAGAGCATAGGCTATCGATTTACCAAATCGGAACACCGCTTCCCTCCCCTCCCTTCCCTTACGCCACCAGCTCTCCATGATACCCTCTCTCCCTTGACTCTGTCAGTTATTCAATTTTTTGCCATTTTATCGTTCAAACATGGAAAACCTTTTAAAATCAGAGAGAGAGAGAGAGAGAGCAGGGGGCTGTGGGCGTGTTTGAGAGAGAGAGGCTCACACATGGCCTGTCAGTGGGTGGGTGGCTGAATGGGCTCTGAGGCCTCTTATCAGTCGTTATCGAAAGGCTAGCCATGGGGACTCATTCGTAGACTGAAAGCCCATGCGAAACCGTGGCATAATCGCAAGCTGCCTCCTGCCACACACACACACACACACACACACAATTGAAATACATTGACAACTATAATTGGCTATAAAACATTTTGGAGGGCCCTTGACGGACATTTCAATAGACTGAGGGAACTGCTGCGGCATGCTGGGTACAAAGCCCACCGACAAGCGAAGCCAAACCGAAAGAAAATACTAGCCAGAGACAGATGAAGATGCAGATAGAGCGAGAAGGACACAGGAACAGAGGAAGAGAATGAAAACAGTGCTAGTAGTAGTTTTTGGGAGCTGGGAATATATTATAAGCAGGCTCTAATTTCCCCGAGTATTAGTCTAAATCCTATCCGTTCTGCATGTAAGCGAACGGCTCGGTTATAAGCGTCGGGAGTCATGCGGCAGCGCCCCTCGGTCGGGCTGCGTCTCTGCCTGGGATCAGCGCGTAACAGGCTTTGGGATATCCAAAGGTGCAGGATAGTTTTTACTAGTCTGAAAGAATCATTTGAAAGGAGCATTTGATGGCCTCATATCCTCCCAGAAATGCCTGCCAGTTGGATGTCCTCAATAGAGGTGAACCAATAGGTTCAGAAGGATTCGACCCCCCCATACCACGACCACCTATGTATCTACTGCCTTGTCCTGCTCTGTCAACCCTTTCCAGCTCCTCCCTCTCAATCCCTTTGATGCACGCGCCTTTTTTTTTGTTTAAACTTTTCAATTAAATGTTAATTATGTGAAATTGACATTGACCATTATGACAGGTTGCGGAACCGCTCCTGGCCCAGTCCCAGTCCCCATCTATGCCACTGACACTGCTTCAGCCCCTGTCTGTGCCTGTGCCTGTGTCTGCGTCTGTGCCCCTCCCCCGAGGAACTGCTCGGCCCGGACTCCGCCTTCTTGCCCCTCATGGACACTTGCAACTGCAAATTTAATTTAATTGCATTTCATACGCCCATTTGGCTGCCACTTTGTGGTGGTTCTTGTTGCCGGTGCCGTTGCCGTTGCCGTTGGTGTTGTCGGCGCAACACTTGACTTATTTAGGCAGAGAGAAGCCTCGAGAAAGACAAGGAGACAAGCCGCAGAGAAAGAGATAGACGGACGCAGAAAGAGCGAGAGAGATAGTAGGAGAGAAGCAGAGAAGGCCCCTGTTTGGTGCAAAATTTTAATTGCCTTGAAACTGGCAACTTGCAACGCGTTCGGCCCAAATTTGGGAGCAGGGGAGCTTGTTGCAAGCATTTTGCCGTTGCGCCTCGCTGAACAGAGAGAGAAAGATAGATAGATAGAAAGAGAGAGAGAAAGACAAAGCGAGAGAGCTGGTCAGAGAAGAACTAAGAAATAAAACGCAGATAAAAGAAAGCAGAAAAGGAATTAGAAGAAGATACTAAGAAGCACACAGGAAACAGGTGCAGAAAGGTTAAGTTGACCAGAAGAAAGAAGAAAAGAAAGCCGAAAAGGAACAAGTGGAATCTGAAGAAAGAATCTACAAAGAATTAATGATATTTTTGATCCTTTTTGGTAAAAATCTCCCAACAAATGGACATACATAATGAAATACTCGGGGGGAAGACCTCCCGCGCACTCGCTTCGCAGGTACGCCAACCCCAGGCTCACTCGCTTCGCTTGCTCCGGGCCACGACGACGACCCAAAACAGTTTTTTTTATAATAGAGAGATAATATATAGAAAATGAATGAGGAATACCTAAGTGAGAGGGAGATTCTTCACAGAGAAGACATCTCCCATTCAATCTCACTCTCCAGCCGAACCGGTGACGAAAGTTCAAGTTTATTATTTCTCGTAGGGCCATTCCTTGGGGTGTCATTCGAAGAGACATTCTGAGAGACAGTCGCAAACAGTAGCGGCACACGACGGACGCCCTTGACAATGATGGCAAACGAGCTCCCAATGGCTCCCAATAAGCCCAGAACTGAATTCAATCGCCATCCAAAAACCAAATCGCAGCTAAATTGCCCTGAAACGCATCTGAAACGATCTGAATCCGAATCGAATCGAATTGAAACTATAAAAGGGGCGACAATTTAGACGTGTTTCGCGTCACTTCCCTTTGGCCAATGACCAATTAAAGAGGAGTCCCTGGACTGCCTTCGGCACCGGCTCTGGCTCCGACTCCATCTGATCCCCCTTTTCAGCTCCTCCTCGAACGTATGTCCATTCCCATTTCCATTCCCATTCACATTCGCCTTCGCGTTCGCCTTCGCGTTTGGGGGCTCCTTTTCCTGCCCCCTCGTTCACATTTAAACCGATTGTCACTTGTTGCAATAAATTGAAATTGACCAACAGCGTGCGGCAACGTGCAACGTGCAACGTGCGACGCGTATCTTGTTGCAAGTGCTGGGGAATTCCGTTTCGGTTTCGGTTTCTGTTTCTTTTTTTGGGGCTTGGCTTGACAATAAATGTCAACACTTTGCGGCCGCTAATTTATTTGCGCGCTCGATGCGTTTCACCTCTCGCCATCAAAATGATTAAAGTGTTGTTGGCAGGGGCGAATGCCGAGGAGGAATCGACTGGGGAACCCGCTAGCACTACTGGAGACGTGAAAGAAAATCGCAGAAGGTTGCCAGAGATTAACATTGAGAGTTTCCATAGAATAAATGCTCCAAAAATATGCCCAATCATATGCAGACAGAACTTGATCAATACCTTATCGTTTGTGGGGATATTGGGTATGTATGGGTACTGTTTGCCTCTCAAGTATGTGCTGCTGCTGATTTGTTGAGCAACCAGCTACCATCTACAAAGCAGACTCACACACACACACACCGGCAGACAGACGGACACGCACTTGCACACATGTCCGGCATTATGGCCAAGAGCAGAGACCAAATACTTGAGCCAGGCCAAGTCCCTCCCCCTGTCTTCCTGCTCTGTGTCTGTGCCTGTGTCTGTGGCCTCTTCTACCTTTATGATGAAGGCCAAACAAGTTGAGGTAGGTTAATTTTATTGGCCAAATAAGTGGGTATCAAATTTAATGGCCAACAGCGCGGAGGCAGACAAAGACAGCGAAGAAAGAAGACAGAAACACAGAAAACACACGGAAAACACACACAAAACACAACACACACAAAAAATAGAAAAAAGAACGGGTCGGGAATGGGGTCGGGGTCGGGGTCGGGTCGGTCCGGGGAGGGTTAGGTGGAAGGGCCGCAGAGGGCGATGGGTTGTCAGTAGGTGGTGGTAGCAGGTTGGGGTAGGACGGGAACGGGTGCCAGTGCATAAAGCGTAAAAATGAGCCAAAATAAATAAGGAAAGCCGCAGACGGCAGGCCCTTGCAACTCCAAGAAGAAGACAGTGGAACAGTCGAAGTGGAAGTGGAAGTGGAAGACAAAGACGATGAAGCTGAAGCTGACGGCCCTTTGATTGATTGGCTGGCAGCGGAAGCGTGACGTCACAAACAGCCACCAGCAACAGCAGCAACATCAGCGGAGAACAAGGGAGGTCGGAATACATTTGAGTTTGAGACCAACATTAGACAAGATATTCAGATATTCACAAATGGCAGAGATCTTCTCTGAGTAAAGCAAAATATGATCGAAAACCAAAGAAATCAAAGAAGAGTTTAAGCAAATGGATTCGAATATTCGAAATGATCACAAAAATGAACCGATCATATCTTAGATGGTTCACATTTCATTCTCAAATCGAGATCTCGACCAAGAGTTTTCCAGTGGGCACACAAGATGCTTTTTATAAGAATACAAGCATTCATCGTGTATCAGATGTCATCCATCTATCTAATCGGCTCAGAACTTATCGATATTGGGCTCGAAGCGTCGCGACTCGGGCCCAAAAAATAGTCACATAAAAATGGAACTATTTCTTCTTAAAACCGCTATATTTAAAATAATCTATGTCTGCTATCGATGTAACCCAAAAGCAATGCATCTTGAACATGGATCGTACAATTTTCAAAAGATTCTGTGCACATGACCTGTGGAAAGGGGCAGCAAAAATTTGTGTGTGTTTAGGGGAATTACCCTAACCCACTTCCCACTTCCCAATCCTTCTATTACTCACGCTCTCACCCCCTCACCGATGCTGATTGCTGGCCAATTGGCTGTGGACTTGGCTCAATGTTGGTTTACTTTAGTTTAGTCGGAGTTTGCTTTGGTTCGGGGTTTCCTTCCTTCTTGCACTTCCACTAACAAGCCGCCGCACGAAATTCTTCCGCAATTTTCACATAACTCAGCGATGTGGATGGCCAGGGGGGAGGGGGATGAGGAGGGGGATGGGTAGGAGGCAGGGTTCACTCTCTGGCAGTGGGCAATTTTCACGCTGATTTCTCGCTGGGTTTGGTTCCTCTCTGCGTATCAGCATCGTGTGATCTTCCAGCCAGCACAGTCTGCACAGCCAGCCAGCCAGCCAGCCAGCCAGCCAGCCAGCCCCTCTCTGACGCATGATCACGTTGGGCTTACGCATCATTTAATGGGTTCGTGGAGCGGTGCAAGCGGTGCAAGCGGTGCCAGCTGAGCTGCAACTTGGAACTCCGAGTTGTTGATGGAAAATGCAACAACAGGCCATGATCGGAGAGGGCCAGGAGAAGGCACCCACCAACTGGGCATACGACTTTATCACTTGCCCACAAAATATCTTCAATTGGTTCCATTAAACTTAAGCTGCGATCCATGAGCACGTTTCTTGAGCCTCCTCCGCCGAGTAGATGTAGCAACAGAAGTAGGAGTACCTTCCTTCGTGCGTTGCCATCATCATCGTCATCGTCATCCACATGGCTACATGGCAACATGGCCCATGGTCGTGCCCAAAATTAACCTGACCAGGGCATGATCATGACGACGGAACGCAGAAAGAACGCGAACGCAGTCAGAGTCGCTGGCCCGAAGAGAGTCGAGTCGCTATAAATTCTATTGGCGTATCTATCTACACTATTTCTAATTTAGAACTGAGCCCCCCGCCCTCGCCCCCTTCCATACTTCCAGCACTGAAGCCTGCCTCCGCCACTGCATCTGGTGGTGGCATCTCTGCTACGAGTAGATCAGCGGAGAGCAGAGCTGCCTCTCAGAGCTGCCTCTCAGCTTACCATGTTCCATGAATGTTGGCCGAGAGTCGTCGCTTTGGCCAATTTAAGTTTAAGTGCTTTGGTAACAGTTTCGCGCTTTCGAAACTTGAGTCGTGATTTATTTTTCTTTGCCTGCACCTCCTCCTCCTGCTCCTGCTTCTCCTCCATCTCCATCTCGGAAAGAGGCTTCTCTTCTGGGGTTTCTGCGGTGAAGGAATTCCTTCGCCTATTCAACCCCCGCTCCACCTCTTTTCAAGTGCCGTTTTTCACGCCACAACACGCAATCGCTGAAGCTCAAGTAAATTAGGAAAATTGATCTAAATTTTCTTGGGAACCTTTCCCATTTCGGTTTGCTGTGCGGGGGATGGCCAAGGGGCAAGGGGTAAGGGGTACGGTACGGCTAGGGCCTGCCCTGTGCATCAGGCACATGTTGGGCTTAAGGTTTTCCTCAGGTTCAAAGTTGAACCCAAGGCAGATGAGAAGGGACATCCTTTGAGGCCTTCATCGACCAATTAAAATTCAATAAAAATTCAAGCAATTCCAACGAAAATGAGCTGAGCCTGGGCTTCCGAGAGCTTATCACCAAATTGAAAATCTCCAAATCGGGGGCATGACTAGAAGCAATCAGTACAAGTTCCATGTAAACAGTATCAGCATCGGGCCAAGGCCCGGGACCCCAGAGCAAAGCCCGCAAAGCCCGCAGAGAGGAGGAACGGCAACAAGTTGAAGTTAAAAATCTTTGCGCGGGTCAGCGACAAAGTCAAGTGCAAGTCCAAGTCGAAGAGTGGAGTCTCCTCCATTCTCTGCCTCCTCAGCGCAGTAGCCAGGCAGCAGCCGTAGCGGCAGCGTGGCATGCAACCGATGCCATTCCCCAGTCCTTGCCGCTCGTTCGGTCGTCACATAATCTGCTCCAAATCAAAATTGCTTATTAAACGTGGAGACCGAGAGAGCTTCGAGTGCAATGCCATGGCCGGGACGGTACAGGGTCTAGGCCTCGGTGTCGTCTCTACGAGGAGGCACTCCTATTCCTGTGTGTGTGTGTGCCTGAAGCCAACAATTGGTCATGGATAGGGCTGGGCGATGGAGCTTGACTCCTGGAACCAGTTCGCAGACATAGAAGAGTGGAAGTGGTGGAAGAAGTACCATATAAAGTCAGGAATCCCCAGGAATTTTTCAAATCACACTTTAAACTGTATTTAAGAGAACTCTACAATAAACTGGGAATATATGTATTTCGGGTTCGACTTTATACTTATATATACTTATATGTATAGATAGATACTCGTATATGGAATTACTTAAACTTCCGCATTTCCATTCAGCACTTGCACTGACCAAAACAGTTCTTAAATGGTGCCATATGCTAAGAACGAACTACAACCCAAGAACTTACGAGGGAACCGAACCGAATCGAACCAAACTCACATTTTACTCATCTCTAAACAGGGAGGCTGAGGCTGGGGCTGGGGCTGGGGCCTGGTGACTGCGTAGCTCCCAAAACGAATCTGTCGCCGCATCGGATATCGTGTATGCCTAGGCGGCGGAGGTACGAGTAAAATGGCAAAAAACGAACGAAAAGAAGAAAAATTGCTGCCGAATTCTGGGGCCAATGGAGGAAGCCATTGGACGGAGTTCGAGTCGATCACGATTGCCGTTCGAATCGGCAGAGGGAAGCCTCAATAAGCCAGGCCCCATATCTTGATAGGCATGGGATGCGGCGCTACAGGCCGAGCATTGATCGACGATGACGATGTCGATGACGATGAAGACGAGGACGCAGACGAGGACGATGGACAACGTGCAAAGCTGCCAATGAACCAAATCCAGCCTCTAGCTCGCCGTCTATACCTCTCTCTCTGTCTGTCCAGATTTATCTCAATTTCTACATTTGACCTGTGAACCACAATGGATTTTGTATATATTATAATTGCTGACCGTGCTACACAATCTCCAGCCCCGACTCTTCGACTCTTACTGTGGCTCTGACTCTGGGTCTCTGTGGTCAAGAGTCGATGGAGAGATTGTGCGGTGCCCACTGTAGTGCCTCGGAAGCGAACTGAATTCGATGCGATGCGCTGCCTTCGACTGCCATATCACTGCCAATGCATCGGGATTTTCGCTTCGCATTTCTGCTCTCTGCTTTTGCCTGTGTCCAGGCCTTTCCAAGAAGCTGGTTCTGGCTCTGGCTCTTGCTCTGGCTCTGGATATAGCTCTGCTTAACCTGGCCTGAAAGCTGAACACTTTTTTGTGGACTTGTCGCATTAGCACCAGGCCTGCAACGGGATTAGGCGAGATGGCGATTGCATTTATGCGGCCTCAGCCTCGGGCTTAGAGCCCTTGAACGATCCACCGATTGGAGTGCCGATCGATCGGTGAACATGAAAGAGCTGAAAGCTGAAATGAGTTTGTGCAAAATAGGTGTCGAGTGCCAGTGCCAGGCAATTGGCCATCAATGATCGAAGCGATTAATAGCGAATATATTGCTAATTACTGATCGCACTCAATCGCTTACTGATCATTTTTCGATGATTTTGTATGTTGAATCCGAAAGTTTTGGGTTTTCTTTTTGTATTGATAATCGCTGGATCATTCATTACTAGCAGCTTTATCACAGAACTCTGATAATTAACTATATTAATTTAATTTAGTACAAATCTTCTCCATCTGATCTCTAGTACCCTATTACCTTCTCCAAGCCAAGCACAGAACTAACACCATTACTCTTCAATTTATTTTTTATTTGACGATCCTCAACCGAGTGCTAAACTTTGACACCATCTCGACTTCCAGCCACAGCCCACATAGCAAGCGTAATGCAAGGCTTGCCGAAGTGGCCTATGGTTCGAGCTAGAGATGGCTGTCCATTCAGTCAGAGGGAGGGTGAAGCACGCCCCACTTCAACGCCTTCATGTCCTTCTCACAGTTCCGACAGGCCAGTCCAACGCCGAATCCTGCTCCCATCCAGACCGGCCAACGACGACGCCGCAAGAACCACAGGGAGACGCCGGCACCAATCACCATGCCCCCAGCTGCCTTAACAATAACATCGCACACGCAACGACCAAGGCTTTCACGATTACTATCGTCGGAGCAGGAAGAAGACATCTTTCTCTCTCGCTTTTTGTTGTATTTTCTCTAATTGTTTCGATCTAAACGTTTGAAATTGTAGAGCAGAAAGTGAATTTGGATAGAAATATGGTTCAACAAAAACCTCATGGGATACTAGAGATTTTGATTCAGTTTCAACTTATATACCCCCAGGTATTGGTGCTACGCATTGGTGCAGTTTTCCCACTTAACCTCGCAACTCGGCATAATCGATCACGATCGATTTCTGCCAAAATAGATTATAATCGATACATAGATAGGCTAACCAGCCTCCGCTTCCCCCTGGACACAATCTTGTGCAATCTTATCGATCTATATGGGCATTGAACATGCGAGCAGTCGCAGTCCCAGTCCCAGTCTCCTAGCTCTAAGCTCCTAGCTCCTAGCTGCCAGCTGCCCAGCTCTTGGCTTCCAATCCAACTGCCGAACTCTTGCACCTACAATCAACCATTCGACAGCGGCATCGGCAGCTGGTAAGCTGGGTAATCATGTCAGTATAAGGAAAATACCCCAACATTGTTTTTATCGATATGCCCCAGCAGAACAGAACGCCAGTGGAGGAGGAACAGATGGAGGTGTGTGAAGGCGAAATGCTCCATTGGGATTGGGAGTGGAAAGTGTTCCTTCCTTTTTCTTTACTGCCTGATTGAGGTAGAGCAAAACATAACATCTCTTTGCGAATTGCAGAACATTCAGAACATTTTCGTTTGTTTTTTCTGACGTCTGGGATATAGATATTTTGAGTATGTGGAAGAAGTATTGTTAGGGATGGGCCATCATTCGATTGTTAAGATATCTTGCTCGAGGAACTGGGGGAGTCTGCCATCTGCTCCTCAATCTTGCAGCTATCTTATGCCTCTTTGTGCCTCGGCTGTAGAGTAACCAATCGTCGTATATCCCTCAATCAAATCCCCTCGAACGGGGAAGCGTTCTTCTTTGGATTTTCTTTTAGCTTGGGAAAACAGCGCCAGCGACCGTGTTGACGTGTTAAGTGCTTTAGCCAGGAGATGGCCCCAAAAAAAAACCTTCTGTCTGTCTGCCTCTTCCACTTGCTTGGGCTTAAGCTATAATTTCAGCTCACCGCCCACCATTTTTTCGAGGCAGTTTGCCTCGCCCCGCCCCCACGATATGGGGGCGCAACGAGGCCTAACTCGAAAATTGCAAATTCGGGTGTTCAATCGAGTCAAATCCTTTTCTATTACCAACTCAACCGCCGCTCCACCAGCTCTGTGTTTAAAGAAATTGTCGGCCACATGAGCAATTTAATGCCTGATTTGCCTTGTCTCGTCTCGTCTCGTCTCCCTCCTTAACTCTCCGTCCTTTGTTCTGGCTCTAGCTCTGTCTCTGGTTGTGTGGCTCTCTGGTTCTGGTTCTCGTTTCGCCTTTGTGTCTGGATCTATCTTTTGCCCCTTGCCATTGTAGGTGTCGGCGGCCCAGTCGGGTGTTGGCACAGTTATTTGCCTCCAGTTTCGGCTCCTTTAGATGGAAGATGGTGGTGGTGGGATGACCCACAGAGTGGTCGATTAGATCAAAATCAATTGTGTGGCTACACTGGCCTTTTTTTGCTCTTGTGATTGGGATTTCTATCAATTTTTCGTACAGTGATCCCAGGGGTACCAGCTAAAAATCGCCCAATAAGCACTCCTTATCTGTATCAGATGATGTGAATGGCCTACTGATCATCGGGAGATATACTTATATACATATGGGTCAACCTATAGGTCTAAACGGTATACAGATGAACGAATCCAATACTCAGTTCTATAAACCACACATACCTCAAGCAGCCCCTTAACCAAGACATCCCCTAGACATTTTTGGTTAATCCCAGAGCACCCATAACTCTATCGAACTGTCCATAACATGTGTCCCATCCATGGCTTAGATTCCAGTTGGTTAGTTCTTGTCTACAAATTGGACTAAACTACTCAGGATCATAATAAAGACATTTATGGACCCGCGACCGGATTCAATTGTGCGGCATTCAACAATTTTTGCAATCAGTACGAGAGGAGAGGGGACTTGGACATGGACTCCAGCTCCGACTCCGACTTCGACTAAGAACTGGAATAATGCGATCCACTTGGCTGGCCCAGGGCAATGCGTTCGTGTGTTGGGTGGGTGTCCCTATAGCTGGTCGTGCCTGGGCCGAGAGCTGGACAGGCAGGACGGGGGGCAGGAGTGGCAGGAGTGGCTGCAGAAGTACAACTCAATGAGGCACATGCAAGTCAAAACTTTGGCCCGGCCTGGGCCTGGGCCCGGGCCCGTTGGCCATATGGTCTCCTGCTCTCATCAATTCCGTCTTGGGGCTGGCTGCCCTGCCTTGGTCGGGCCTGGGCCTGGGTCTGTCTCTGGCTTTGAGCCTGGCTCTGGCTCATTATAGATGCAGCGCCGATTTGTTTTGTTGTCCCCCCATTTGACTTTGAATTGATAGCATCAGGAGGCAGCGGCATCCAAGACTCCAGGTCCAAGTCCCACTCCGACTCCGACTCGGACTCTGCCGTCGGCTGCAGCAGCAGCGCCCAGTTTTCTCCCCTTTTTCCCCAGCCACATGGGTGCTTTGGGCTTTTCCTTTTCCTTTTTTTGCCTGCATTTAAGATATATATAAATGTATTTGAACAATTGAGTTTGCTGCGCATGCGCATGCCTAGTGCAAATATTTTAGATTCGCATAAACTTTGCATAGTTTTTGACCAGGCTTTACACCAGGTCCCTCGCCCTCGCCCTCGCCCACCAGCCGGCACAGTGGAGCAAACGAGCATTCAAATTGAATAACTATCATTATTTCAAATACTTTAACGAATATTCTGCTCGTGGGAGCTCTCGAGTTTCCATCGAAACAGCTGATGGTATGATATGGTAGTTTATTGGGGCCTCACAAAACTTTTGATATAAGGTTTTTCATTAGTTTTGGGATCACACACAGTTCTTAAATATTCCTTCTTTGTGGACCACTGTTCATGAGTGCCTTGAATCCCTGCGTGTGTGTATCTGTGCTGTGCTGTGCTGTGCATGGTGTCCACGCACTCGTCGCAGTCACTGTGTGGTTGCCGTTGTTTCTGTTTCTGTTCCTGTTCCTCTTGTCCGAGCTGTTGTTCCTGGTCGGCGGGGCCTTGGGCTGTTTAGCTGCGCATTTTTATTTAACATATCATTTAAAATTCATGTAAAACACATGTAGCTGGGGCTTGGGCTGTGCCCTGTGGTTGGGGCAGTGGCTGTGGCAGCGACCGACTGTGCGGACACTGCTTTGCATACCGTAGGCATAAAGTCCTAGGAGGGAGTAAGAGTGAGAGAGAGAGAGAGAGGGAGAGGGAGAGCGGACCCTCAGACAGTGGGACGGACACATCACACCCAAGCGCCAGGAGCAAGAGGCCCGGCCCGCCAGCGAGCGATTGAGGGTTAGGGGAATGGGGAATCGCATTCATAAGCAGAGGCTTCCCCCCGTCCCCATCCTGTATCTGCACTCGCATATCTACGAGCGGACAGACAGACGAGCCCATGAACAGTCTCTGGGTCTGGTCTCTGGCTTTGGCTCTGGGTCTTGGGATCTCTGTGGATCTGTGGATGTGGATTGTGGATGAAGATGTCGCTTGTTGCATGCTGCATTTAATTTGTAAACAAAGTCTTTAGTTTATGACTTGGAGTTTTATTTTAGCATATCTAGGCCTGTTGCGCCTCCCTCATCCCCATACCATCTCTCTGTCTCTGTTGCCTCTCTATCGGCTGTGCCTCCCGCTAGCCGTTTTGTAGGAAATTTGTAAACAATTCCAAATTCCAGAACGCATCGCATCATTTTCAACACAATTTGCATATGCAGCTGGAGGCAGGAGGGGCAGGAGTGGGCGCAGCAGTAGCACCATCAGCAGCAGGAGCAGGAGGATCCGATCTGATCTGCGACTGCGACTGGGACTGGGACTTGGGGGATAGACAGAAGCCATTGTTAATGCCTTGAGGTTGACCTTTTGCCTGGCCCGTCCGTTACCCTGTGGCAGCCATAACAAATCAGCAATGACGTGCCCCGACACTAAATGCAATTTATAACACTTTTTATCCCTGTTCCATCGCATCTTGAATGCATCGCTGGGATGCCCTGGGATGGGATGGTTGCTGGTGGTTTCTTGTGGTTTCTTGTGGCTTCTGGTGGTTGGTTGGTTCCTTGGTAGATTGTCAAACAACTTGACTTAAAGGAAAGTTAACGAGCAGAGCGGCAGCAAAGCAGACGTCCCCGTCCTCGTAGCTCCTGGTTCCATCATTGCGATGAACGACAACTTCATCATGACGGGGCCCCGCACGTCGACGAGATGTCTCTTCTGCTGTCATCACCATCAACACACTACGAACGAACGGGCGGACGGGCGGACCGACGGACTGGCGGACCGACGGACGGGCGGACCGACGGACGGACGGACGTACCCGTTAGACCCCAAAAAGGCCATCAAAAGCGTTCAGCCAGCGAACGTAAAATGCAACAAGAATGGCTCAGAGGGAGTGGGGGCCATCACAGAAAGAGGCTTTCACTCGGGGTAGTCCATGGCCACAGAATACTCTTTCGGATAACGGAATAAAATGTTAATTCGGAAGAATCAGAGCGAGTCCTGTATGTTAAGAATCCATGAAGAAATTAATAGTTATTCGTTGTTTATTTTAAGGTTTTTCTAAGCTCTAAAGAGGGGGCGCCTTGGCTCTTTTCAGCCACCTGCTTAAGCTAGAAAATAAAGAAACATATATTCGAATTCTCATAATTTCTTTGCCTTTGGTAGTTTTTGTCGTACCTAAATAATACATATGTACGAGTGCACTCCCTAGACAATCCAATGTCTGAAGAAAACTGAGGAAAACACTGCAAAATTATCCTGTATTTCGTATTGGCATAGACGAATGACATTCTTCTCTATGCAGTCAAGCGATATTGACCGATTATTGCTTAATTATAGGGTATTACTCTCACCCTCTGCCAATGCACACGACAGCCTCCTACGACAGCAAACTGCACTTGTCTGGGGCTTGGTTTTTATGAACGTTTGGGCTTTAAAATAAAACTACCGCGGCTTCGCTCTCTCTCGCAACCACCACCCCCAACCCCCAACCCCCAACCCCCAATTCCCAATCCCCTGTCCCTCTGTCCTGCCCAGGCACATGAATAATGCAAATGCAAAAGCAGAAGAGTGCAGAGAATCACCCAAAAACCAAAAATAAAAAAAAGGAAGAGAGCGACACACCTACATGGCCAGCTTTCTCTCTCCCAGAGCAGCCGCAGCTGGGCTTAATGCGCCATAACTCACCAACACCAACACAAACAAACCCACACCAACACTAATAACAGTAGACTAACACAAGGAAGGAACACATCGCATCGCCATCTCATCTAATATGACCGCCCGTCACTCATTAAGCCGACGCTGTCGTCCGCTCTTTATTGTCGCTTATATTTTCTATATAGAAAATGTTTTTGTAGCCGGCGGTTATCAGAGAGCTCAGGAAATTGCGATTTTTCATTTCAGTATTTTGTTTTTCTATTTATTTTTTTGGGGAAGAGAGGGAGAGAAAGAGGCGGCATCGCATCAAATTTTGTCAAAATTTTTCGTTGCTGTTGCATTATTTTAGCAAAATAATTAACACGAACCCAGTCAGACCATCCATCTATCCATCCATCCACCCAGCAATCCATCTACCCATCAATTAGTGAGGCAGTCTGCAGCATCTGCTGATCCTGCCGGTCCTGGTCCTGGTCCGTGTCCGGATTCTTGTGCCTTGAGGCATTTATGGTCCTTCCTAAGCAGCCGCATTATATGCAACATTTTGTCGCCTTGTGATTATTTTTCGGCTTTCTCTAGATGGTGGCGTGGGTAGCTGGCTGGGGAAAATTGTGGGAAGAGGGGGAAAACGACGGGCTAAATGCACCTCGTTTTACTTGATTGCTTTGGGCTTGAGGCCTTGCCAAGTTGATTTTTATTTCTGGCTGTCGTTGTCGTTGTTTCCGGTCCCACCATCATCATCATCATCATCATCACATCGTATTCATCTTCATTGCTGTCTTGTCATTGGGAGGCTTGTGTCTTTGGTTGAGCGGCCACATGTGCACATAATATTTTAGTGTCCTTTTACTTATGCAACCCCATTTCCGCACCACCCCTCCACCAACTAACAGCATCCTCTTTATATTTTCAGCCAGCAGATATGTAGTTTACTTCTTTGATATTTCCTTAATTGTTAATGGTCCCTCCTGAAAGTAGGCAACAATATTTTTATTTTACTGCCTCCGCTACTTGTCCTAATTGAATGGAGGGGCTCTGTCCGTCCAGGGGAGCTGCAGCGATACCTAAGAGATGAGAGAACATCAACATCAATTTCTCATAGTACACCAATACACAATAAAAACTTTTCTTGAGGGCGGACGAAAGACGGTTTCATTTTAAAAATGTGGACATTAAAAGATATTGCCTACTCTTGGGAGGCAACTAAAACGTCTTGCTCAAGAAGAAAAAATGTTGCCTGGTTTTCGGCGTGGCCTAGATAATTAAACAGGCCTACATCATTTCATTCAGATTGAAATTTATTAAACAAAATCTATATAACATTTGTATACCTGGAACTTGAATAGCTTAGGGATGTAATATAATAGAATATCCCTTCCACTCACAGAGACATTTCAAGACATATTTCCGTCTAGGCTAGGCTAGCCACAATTTCAACAATAGTTGAAAGCTATTTCCTGGAACAAAGCTTACAAAAATAGTTAGAGCCACAAATCGATGACCATCAAAAGAGCAGACAAAAATTATTTAATTATGCCAAAATTATGCTAATCACATACAAGAAGTTACGAAGATCTTGGAGTACGGAGACTGCGTCAATGGGATTCCCCGCTCTGCCGACTGACCAAATAAGCCTCAGCCTCACTTCATAAATCATAATAATAAATAGTCAAACAAATAAAAAAAACTTTAAAATGCTCAGGTGTGTGAACAAAAGATGTCGGGGCAAAAAAAAAGGAAAAAAAATAGCGAACATTGCGAATAATAAATACTCTATTGACAGTTCTTTGGTGCTCTATTATATGACAAGAAAAAGGAACTTAGATTCGAAAATGTATAACAATAGATAAATATTTCATAAATAAAATATTTTCATTTTTCTGATAGTGGATAGCTTGAAAGAAATGATAATGTTATTTAAAAGTATTTTATTTATTTTGGACTTAAAACTATTTATTTAAGATCAGTAACCAACTGCACCCCAAAGCCAATAGATCCTTTCCTTAATTAAGAAGAAAAAAAATCCCGTAAAATCAACTTGAAATTTCTATCAACCCACTCAGGAATTACATAATTTATTAAAGAATAGAAGATTGTCTCAGATAAAAGCTGTACTTATTTGCAGCTTCCCAAATATATACGAAACGTACTTGTATTTGTATGTCTTCACTACCGATTGGTCTCACCCAGTTGCGCATATCACCTGGTGGATCGTAAAATCAATTGACAAATTGAATGACATTTCGCGGCACAATCAGCGATGACAGCAAAAATGCCACTAATTATGCCAATCAGAGTGGGATCCCGCATCGATCTTAATGCTGCCAGCCCGAACAAGTGTCGCCGCGCATGCGCCCGCCGCGCGAAGTAATCGAAACTACTCGAATCTGGGAAAACTTGATTTTGTAATTGGCGAGCAAATTACGCGACCAGCTAAAGTTGTTTTACCCACCGTCCACTGTCCAGCAGCTACTTGGCTTTGGTTGGGCCGCGGGTTGAGTTCGTCAAACAAGTTTCGAGCCCAGATAGTTCCCCCCAAGCGATACAATTTATGGCAGATGTCATTCAAAATGATGGCATTATTATGCGGGAAGTGCCCGGGAACATGCTCGGACAAAGATTTAGTACATGGGTTACAAAGGAATCTTCCCTTTGTTTAGAAACAAAAAGAAAATCTATTGAAAGATACCAATGTTCGTGGAACAGTTGAGTATCCAGCTTTGATTAGCAGATACTCATATTCCATCTACCATCTGAAAGAGCTCATAACCTACTGAAACGTACGAGAGCATAAACCCATTATGCGATCTCAGCGGACGACTTCCTTACATTGCCCTTCACTTTCATGGATTATGGGCTGTAAAACAATGATTAAATTTAACTTCATTTCGACCCGCACTTTGGCACGTTTCGCTCTTCATTGAGGAAGGTCAGGGTCCATGCCTTTTGCACTCGAGTTGAACGCAAAACTGTGAGTATATTGCCGAGTAATCACAGAAAGACGCCGCACACTGAGAGTATCCAATACTACTACATAAAATCCGATCCGATCGGATCCGATCGGATCCGATCAGTGGACGACAGAAACCTTCGCCTAAATTAATTTCAGTCGTTTTTGACGAATTAACAATAATGATGAAAATAAAAATCCCCGACCCCTGACTTTCGGTTTCAATATTTGGACAATCAATTAATTGCGATTTCCACATCATGGCTTCCTCAGAGGGCTCTGGGCGTGTCCCTTTATAGTTCCAGTGGGTATTCCAGATCAGTATGATATATCTTTTTATTTTAAAGTATCATTCAAAAATTAAGTGAGATATTTACATGTGTGCCATAGATCTGAAATACATATGTCTGAAAATTGGGTCGAAACACTCGAATGAAAATGTTCAATAATTTCGGCACCGTTCTATGCGCTTCTCATGATGTTTACCTCAATAATTAAGCCGTGAATTTGTTTGCCCTTCGGCCACTCTCAGGGGAATTTGCATTACAAATATACTCGTGCATACTCGTATCTCAATGCAGTTCGCATTCATGCTGATCTAGCATTGAGAGCCAAGCTTATATTTGCCAGAAGTCAGAGATGATATTGGCTAGGGCACAGGCAAATATCGGCCATTGGCAATGCATCGAAGAATAGTAGAAAATCTAGAATTTGTATGGACTGTACTAATACATTTTACTATTGGGCAAGCATTCAAGAAGTCCATAATTATAATCTATTGTAGTAGAAGTTTGGTAAATTTGGCACTAATTTGAAGATCATTAAGGTTCGGTTTTATGTCCAATCCTCAAGACATTTGCCATCGATCGGACAGTCATCGCTCAGTGAGGTATGGACTTACAGATGTAAGTCTAATATTTATTTTATGGGGTAATCCAATGAATGGGGAAGGTGTTGAAGAAGTGTTTTATGGATGCAATCAATCGCTGTAAATATGAGTGTTTAAGCCCCACCATCGGACTACGATCGTCTTCTCGGGGTCCGTTCTCCGGCTGTCGGTCCACACCCACCACGAAGCCGGCGGGAAGCTGCCACTAGTCCCACTCGTTGCAAAACAAAGCCAGCCACTGAGGCAGCAGAGTGTGTACTTCAATTTTGAAAGATTTTTGCGAAAATGTTAAACAGACACTACTGCAATTTGACAAATGTTATTTAAGAGCTCTTCGCTATCGCCGTACTTGTCTTATTTGTATTTCGTTTTTCTTTTAACGATCGCTGCCGGCTGGCGGCTGGCGGCTGGAGGCAAACAATCATCGGTGGTTCGGTTCGGTTCGGTTTGGTTTGGTTCAGGCCAAGACGTGGCCAAAATACTTAGCAAATACTCGTAGTTGGTCCGTTGCATACCAACATGCACTGTGTACACTGGTACACATGTGCCTGAAACTGAGGCCAGACAAAGCCCAGCCTCTACAACTAATTTTGCACATGGATGAAGCTGTACGAGTATCTAGAGGAGGAGTTGTGCCTGGAGCTGCTGTTGTTGGCCCAAACAATTTGTCGCGTTTGTCGCTGGTTCCGCAATTGTTTTATGCTCGCTGTCGAGGCCCATCTGAAGCGACCTCAAGCAAACATTTGGCCCTGCCAAACAGACAACAAAGAGACAGATGTGGGTTCGTCTCTGCCACTGCCACCGAAAAAGAATCACATAAACTTTCCACACTAAGAGCTCTTAATGGAGAGCACCTACGTTCACCATGACCGTCACAGATCATACAATTTTATCCAAAGTATCCATTCTCAGATGGATTTACAGATTCATATGTATCTCAATCATTTATCACATATGCAGAGCTCGATTGAAGGGATGCCATAAAGAATATAGTAAATATCTCAAAATATATGTACTATTTCAAACTTATTCGGAAGTCTCTTTTTGAAACCGCACAGAAAGCAAATATAATTGATAGAATTGAAGAATTGAAGAAGCCGAAGTCCGCACCTTTATTAAATTAACAACAAGTTTGTCTGACGAATGTACATAAAATCAATTTAAGCATGTATAAACTTGATCTATTGTTTGACAATAACAGGGACAGATAAGCCAAAAAAATATATATATATTGCTGATCGAACCATAATTATAAATCTTTTGTGGTCCAACCTGATTTCATGGCGGACAGACTCTTAAATTTATTTTACATAAAACCAATAAATTCCGTATATTCCTCACATAAGACGAAACTGGATGTGCCTGAATTCTATTTGATTGTGTTCTTTTTTTTTTAATTACACAACCTAAAGCATAAATTTTCATAATATAATTAAGGCCTGAGACACGAACACATTAGCACTCTTAGTTTTTGCAGGCAGGCCCAAAAGTTCACTCTGAAGCCAGAAACCAGTTCTGGTTATCCCAATGAAGAACCTCTGCCACTCACAGTGATTCAGACAGACCGAAATCTCTCTGAGACCAGACACTGTCCCCTCCCAAACACTGTTGCTAGAACCATGGATTTGCATGCGAATGTTGATTGGGGACTAAAAATACACTTCGAATTACATATTTATGAGGTAATAGTGGAGCTTGACGTCATGGGAAGAGGCGGGAATCGATGGAACACTGATCAAAATATAAACACAAAAAGTAGCATATCAATAGAATATTTAAGGAAATTCCCAGTTTGATACACATAATAGGGGACTTTGATATTCATCTCGTTTGTTTAAGCTGTTCTTTCGGAATAGAAACCTAACGAACTTAGTTCATATCAAAAAATATGAAACTCAATGAAAGCATATTGCGAGATTTTCAATCTTCGGACCACTGAAAAACCTTTATTTTCACAGGTGAAACCCCGAAAAATTATGCCGTTTGAAAAATCACCGTATGGATACATCTTTCCTATTTACTTAAAACAAAAAGCTATTCCAATAGCTTTTACCAGTTCGTGGCTAAAATTCTAAAAGTTGAATAATTGTAATGTGTATTTAAATACCCATTGGCCCTTAATGGGTTAATAATTCCAACAATTTTGTATACAAATTTCTATATACATATAATAAAAATATAACCAAATTTTAATGATTGAATCTAAAGACCAAAACAAATCAATAAAAAACTTAAATCAGATTTTTGGCATAAACGAGTTTTCAACGTTGCCGCCGCCCAGTTCAACGATCGTTAATTATGTTAGACCGATATCTAGCCGAGAATATTGGAAATTAAAACAGCTAGGAAAATACCCCGTAATAAATGATTAATGATGAAAGCTGATCATCAGATCTAGTCGGGGGGAGATATATTTTAGGGTAATGGTCTAGTTGTAACGATCCTTTCGCTATGAGACACTCTCTACTATATATCTTTTAAGAGTACATCCCTCAAAATATCAACTTGAATATCTTCAGAATGGGTATCAAACAAGTTCATTCCGGACACTTAAATGCATAATTTAAAGATCAAAATATGACAGAAATACGAGTGGAATCCGCATTTTGATTGAGCATCGCCAAATAACCAACATCAATGTGCGTTTAAGTATCCATCGATTGATTTCTTGGGTCCCAATTAGCGGACACACATTGACAGACGAGTGGGGCGAGTGCGTGGACTGGCTGCCGTCGCCAATGCAAGCCGATTATGACACCCGGCTGAACTTGCCAGGCGCTAATCAGTGACTCCATTTAGCGACTTATTAGAGAGCTACTATCTATAGACTAAGACGGAGAGGCAGAGGGAGAGGCGGACGGACCGATGTTTAATTGATGGAAAGGCCAAACGCGGATGGCGAGGTTCTAATCAAGTTGAGGTGGGATTCGACTGGATCGAACAAACGCAAGGGGACGATAAGATCACATCTCATCTTTTGTTATGTTAGCTATGCAAATTCACCAAAAATTTAATAAAAATCAACCGACAAAACAAAATATGGGAAGACAGACAGAAATGATGTAGGAATCGTACGGAAAGGAAACCAAAACAAAACTCCAATTAGCATAGGCCCTAATCTTTTGTGTGGGGTATAAAAACCTGAAACGCCCCTCTCGACACTACCAGATTCAGACCAAACATGGTAAGTTTCGGTTCTAGGGGGAACCACCGCGGATCTTTTGTTACCCTCAGCTCCGACTCCAATTCCTATTCTAGCTCTAGCTCCTATATTCCTCTCACTTTCTTTCAGCAAATCTCATACGTCATTGCTCTGGCTTTCGTGACCCTCGTGGCGGCTGATGTCAGCCACCTCAAGCTCGGTCTCTCTGCAGATGGCGCCTATGGACTGACCTCATCCTCCTCATCCTCATCTTACTCCGCCTCGGTGGTGCCGGGAGGCGATTCGAGCAGCTATCAGCCTGAAGAGCTGATCCCTGCCCATCTAAAGGTGGCCTCCATTGAGACTCAATCGTCCGGCTCTGCGGTGATTCCCGGTGGAGATTCGAGCTCCTACCAGCCGGCGGAATATACTTCGGCTCACCTTAAGGTAGCCTCCACTCAGGTAGAATCTTCCGCTGATGAGGTGATCCCTGGTGGAGACTCGAGCTCCTACCAGCCCGCTGAATATACTCCCGCTCATCTCAAAGTAGCCTCCGCTCAGGTGGAATCTTCCACTGATGAGGTGATCCCTGGTGGAGATTCGAGCTCCTACCAGCCCGCTGAATACACTCCTGCTCACTTGAAGGTGGCTTCAGTTCAGGTGGAGTCCTCTGTTGCTCATGCAATCCCCAGCATTGGAGCCGACACCTACACCCCCGAGCAATTCATCCCAGAGGCAGATCGTGAGGCTCACTACAAGTATGTCCAGGAACAGCAGCAGGCGACCATCATACCAGGTGGAGACTCGAGCTCCTACCAGCCCGCTGAATATACTCCAGCTAATCTCAAAGTAGCCTCCGCCCAGGTGGAGTCTTCCGCTGATGAGGTGATCCCTGGTGGAGATTCGAGCTCCTACCAGCCCGCTGAATACACTCCTGCTAACTTGAAGGTGGCTTCAGTGCAGGTGGAGTCCTCTGTTGCTCAGGCAATCCCCAGCATCGGAGCCGACACCTACACCCCCGAGCAATTCATCCCAGAGGCAGATCGTGAGGCTCACTACAAGTATGTCCAGGAACAGCAGCAGGCGACCATCATTCCTGGTGGAGACTCGAGCTCCTACCAGCCCGCTGAATATACTCCCGCTCATCTCAAAGTAGCCCTGGCGGCTCCAGCGGCTGCCGAAGTTGCTCCCGGAAGTGACGAGAGCTCCTACCAGCCCGCTGAATATACTCCAGCTCATCTCAAAGTAGCCTCCGCCCAGGTGGAGTCTTCCGCTGATGAGGTGATCCCTGGTGGAGATTCGAGCTCCTACCAGCCCGCTGAATACACTCCTGCTCACTTGAAGGTTGCTTCAGTCCAGGTGGAGTCCTCTGTTGCTCAGGCAATCCCCAGCATTGGAGCTGACACCTACACCCCCGAGCAATTCATCCCAGAGGCAGATCGTGAGGCTCACTACAAGTATGTCCAGGAACAGCAGCAGGCGACCATCATTCCTGGTGGAGACTCGAGTTCCTACCAACCCGCTGAATACACTCCCGCCCACCTGAAGGTTGCCCTGGTGGCTCCAGCGGCTGCTGAAGTTGCTCCCGGAAGTGACGAGAGCTCCTACCAGCCCGCTGAGTACACTCCTGAGCAGCTGAAGACCTCTGCTGGGGTCCAGACATTGGCTGCCGTCCAGGCTGCTCCTGCTGTCCAGTACAGCTACACCCAGACTCTGGCAACCGCGGTGCAGGCACCTGCTGCCGTCGCCACCAGAGTTGGATCCTCAGTGGCTGCCTCGAATGCCGGCAGCTATCGGCCAGCTGATGTGATTCCCGCCTACGTCCAGGGTCAAGCTATATTCAGCAAACAGCTTGTGGCTCCACTCCGTGAGTCCGTCGTGTATGCCAATGCCCAGGGTCAGGCTGTGATCAGCAATCAGCTTGCGACTCCATTCCATGGGGATTCCGTAAACGGTTATGGCCAGGGAGAGCCCAAGCCTGCCCAATTGTACCAGGAGCCCGTGTCGAACGGCATCGAGGAGTTCAATGTCGAGACCCATGTGCCCGTGGCCATTGGTGGCAACACCGTCACGCCCGCTCACCTGCAGGCAGCCACCTACTCATCCGTTGCGTCCTCCTCCTCCGCATACTCCTCTGCTTCCTCCTCGACTGGTCATGACACTCAGTATGCAACCAACGGCGGCTATGTCTACTAAGTTTAGTCTTTAAGAGTTCCAAAATAAATAATAATAAATAATCTCATCAACCGAATCGATTATTTTCTGGTACTTTTGATGGGAATGGACCGAACGGATCAATGGTAATATATACATACCTAGATGTAACAGATCCTTCCATTAAAAAGATCAATAAGAACCGATCATTGCTTAAAGATCACCAAATCTGATCTGTCTTTCTGCACACTGTCTCGATACGCACTAATTTTGGTACCATTCTTGAAGAAAAGTAAAGGAACTCCAATAATCCATAATTTGTATGTACTAGGGGTCAAGTCCACTGCACACTCGTTTCGCTCACTCGACGAATCGCGTTATTCGCTCACGTTGATATGAGTAAAATATCGGACGAATCTCTAGGTGGTGTCGACTTTCAATTTACTTGAAAAACGTTTAAAAATGATTCATCTGTTTAAAATGCCACTGTAAAACAATTCCTAATTCCTGTTAACAATTCTCGCACTTGTTAAATACGTTTCCATTTCCCGACCACATAACACCAGTTACTCAATCATTAGTTCGTGCTCGCTATACAGGATCCCTTTTATGATCTTTGCTTCGAAATCTGATCTGTTAACAGATCACATTTCTCACAGAACACAGCTCCCCTCTACATCTTCCTTTGCCACTACCTGCTCTTCCCTGTGGCTGTGATCTCATCATTAACCTGATCATCGTGATTCTACAGTTACCGCTCATGCTCAACTCTCACGCACCAGCACTGCAACAGGCCCATGCAACATGCTGTCATGCCTCCCATGCTCACCTCCTCCATACCCTTCCCTTCCTAGCCGTGGCCACATGTTTTTGAGTGCCTTTTCCGGTTCCATTTCAAGTTCATGGGCACAAAAACAGAGATCTGCATTGGTGGCCAAAGTAAAAGTTGATCTGCCCGACTGCCCGGATGGCTGGATGGCTGCCCCGACTGGAGCCGGGCTCATGGCTCATGATTATTATGTAAAGCTCGCCATTCCGCTCGTAACTCTAAGGCATTCTCAAGGCCGTCCACGGATCGCATCGGTTCGGATGGGAGCGTCTTCTTGATGGGTTTTTAGAAAGTGCTCGCTGAGAGCGGGCCCCAGGTTGGCTTCCACGCGGCTCGTTCTTTTGGTGCAATCAATCTGGCTGGCTGTCAGGCAAGGCCATATGCATGGATCTTTCCATTGGGGTTCATGCTGCTTCGCCGTAGCCCATTTATGCGGTCAACCGCATATTGGCCCAAAGGTTGCGGGTTTCATATATCCATAAAGTGTTAAATTGAATGTTAATTAGTGGAACCCACAACCGAGGCAACAAAAACCAAAAAAAAAAACTCAACCCAGAGCTCGTCATGTGCGGGCGGGGTCCCCTCCGCCCATGGAGCCGGTTAATCGGCTTGATTGAAGACCTAACCAAAGTAGGTCCCAAAGTAGTTCATAAGAGTCCGTTGCCTGTTGCCTGAAGCCTGATGCTCCATGCCGCCCATGCATGATCCGTTGCCCGTGCTGAAACCCGTTGCGGAAAACTATTTTGTAAATGAGTTAAACTCGTTTACGCGTGTGTGATTTTTTTTTGGTTTATGTTAAATTTTATTTATATTTCACTCTTTTTTTTCTGCCACAATACCTTAATCTCGTTCCAGACAGTTGCTGGTTCGCCCTAAAATTTATATGTTGCGACTTCTGCTGCCGCTTCGCTTCTTTGGCTGCTGCAAGGCAACCTCTGGGCAGGGGCTTTTCTTCGACTCTTCTGCTTCGACTATAAATTGCCAGACCGCTTTAGGGAACGGCATCAGTCTCAGCCTCTAGCTCGTCCAGCACAGTCGTCGCCAATCACTCTCAGCCATATCAAACATGGTCAGTGCCTGCTCTTAGCCCGCAAATAGTCTTTTGTTTCCACTGGCTATATTTTGTACTCGTATTATATTTTTTGCAAGTGCTTTGGTGTAATTTGTGTTTGTGTAACGTGTGTCTCCCCTCCTTCTTGCAGAAACTCCTCATTGTGTTCGCCCTGTTCGCCTGCGCGGCCGCCGATGTCAGCCACCTGGCCCCCAGTAACGAGTACCTGCCACCTGTCCAGAACTCATACGCGGCTCCATCGGTGAGCTACTCCGCACCGGCCATCCAGCAGACGTACTCGGCCCCAGCCATCCAGCAGCAGACGTACTCCGCACCGGCCATCCAGCAGACGTATTCGGCCCCAGCCATCCAGCAGCAGACCTATGCCGCCCCCAGCAACGAGTATCTGCCCCCCGTTCAGCAGACCTACTCCGCTCCAGCTGTCCAGAGGACCTACTCGGCTCCATCCGTGAGCTACTCGGCCCCGTCCGTGAGCTACTCGGCCCCAGCTGTCCAGCAGACATATTCTGCTCCATCGGTCAGCTACTCTGCTCCCTCCGTTAGCTATTCGGCCCCAGCTCCCTCCGTGAGCTACTCTGCCCCATCCGTCAGCTACTCCGCTCCGGCCTACCAGCAGCAGTCGTACTCTGCTCCGGCCTACCAGCAGCAGTCGTACTCCGCTCCGGCCTACCAGCAGCAGTCGTACTCTGCTCCCTCCGTGAGCTACTCCCAGGATGTGGGCACCCAATACGCCTCCAACGGCGGCTATGTCTACAGGAAGTAAGAAGCTGAAAAACTGATCCACTGTAAATAACTCTTCTTTGTGTGAATTTGTTTTTCTTTTTTTTTTTCATTAACAAAGTAAATGAAAATGTTCTAAAAACAGAAGCAACAATTATTTCAACCGACTTTGAGATGGGCTTTGCTTTAGGAATTGCAAAGCTTTTGACGATATAAAGTTTTGTGGAAAGCTTTAAAGCTGTAACGCAAGCTTTTATGGGGTTGTTTTTCGGGGCTGATTTAAAGCTTATGATCTGATGCGCAGCATAAAAGCTCAAAAGGCTTTCAATAGCTTGAAAGGGTCAAAAGCGAGCTTTGTGGAACAGTTGATATGGTCTTTACGAGCTTTATCTAGGATACAAATTCAACAGCCACAAAGCTGTACTCCTGGAGTTCTGAAATGAAGCTTTACTCTCTGTCGCAATTTGAAAGGTTGCATTCTTCTCAAAGAGCTTATGTTTTTATTCGATGTTGTACCTGAAATTGAATTGTAAATATCCTTAAACAAATTAAGGCCTAATTTTTTCGTCATTCCTTAATGTATTCTCTGCTATACAATCCATCCAAAATTTGGCTTTCTTTCAACTCCAGAGAAATGATTTCTTCTCTCTTCATCTTTCCACCGCTTTATGCAAAATTGCTTTGGACATTGGATGTCTGCATGTTATTATTTTCTGTCTGTAAAGTCTGCCTGCCTAATTAATTTTTATAGTTCAAACGCATGGAACAGTCTGTTCCAGCACTATCCCCCTGGGGCCAGATCTGCGGGACTATTTATGGAACCTTTATTGTGATGCAAAGCAATTTCCGTTCGCGAAATGGAAATGGAAAGTGAAATGAACCGAAGCTGTAGACGAAGCCGGAACGAGCCCAGCGATGGAGATGAAGAGCCGTTTATGTAAGCCTCGAGGCGGCATCCAAAAAAGTCTTATAAGAGAGCCCAGTGCGCGGACCGAGGCCGCACAGTCCCCACCGTTGTTGAAGGTCGAAGTTGAGCCCCCAAGATGGACCGGTGGCCACTATTCCTAGCTTTACTCCTGCTGCCGCTGATCAAGAGCGATGTGAGTCACCTACCCAAGGACTACATTCCCCCCACGCCAGAAGAGGAGGAGTCACTGCAGTCTGTAGATCATCAGGAGACGCCCCTCCTTCATCGCGAACATGAAGAACACGAACACGATCCTGAGGGACATTCCAATGACGCCAATGGCTTCTATCCGAGTGCGGGTCTGCCTCTGCCCCCGGGCTATGCGGTTCCCACGGGGAATAATGTGCCGCCGCCGCCCGCCCAGCCGCCCAACTTCCCTCTGCCCATCTACCCGCCCTACTTTGGCTTTGGTGGACCCCAGGAATCCGTGGATCCTAATGGAAATCCGTTTGGAAGCGGTCCACCGAATGCGGCCATACAGCAGCCACCACAAGGGGCACCCTTCCCACAGGGTGGTCCGTTCCCTAATGGTGGACAGATTGGTCCATTCCCAGGACAAGGAGGTCCCTTTCCAGGACAGGGAGGTCCATTCCCTGGACAAGGAGGTCCATTCCCAGGACAGGGTGGTACATTCCCAGGACAGGGAGGCCCATTCCCAGGACAAGCAGGTCCATTCCCAGGACAGGGTAGTACATTCCCAGGGCAGGGAGGTCCATTCCCAGGACCGGGTAGTCCATTCCCAGAGCAGGGAGGTCCATTCCCAGGACAGGGTAGTCTATTTCCAGGGCAGGCAGGTCCTTTCCCAGGGCAGGCAGGTCCATTCCCAGGACAGGGTAGTCCATTCCCAGGGCAGGCAGGTCCTTTCCCAGGGCAGGCAGGTCCATTCCCAGGACAGGGTAGTCCATTCCCAGGACAGGGTGGTTCATTCCCTCAACAGGGTAATCCATTCCCCGGCCCATTCCCACCAGATTATCTGACCAACCAAGGCCTGCCCATTCCTGGATCGCAGTCGCCCTTCCAACAAAGTCACGCGGGATTTAATGTGCCTCCCGGATTTGGTGGACCACAGCCACAGGGCTCTAATCCGTTTCAGCAGTTCGGAACCGGCTTTGGGGGACCTGGACCGCAGGCATTCGCTGACGAGCCAGAGAAACCCATGGAGGAGGAGGACGCCGAACCGGAGAAATATCCGCAGCCACAGCCTGTAGAATCACAGGCAAGCACGGAGTCACCGAAAAGCGGCGACACCATGTATGGGGCAAATGGCGGCTACGTCTATCAGCGGGTCAAGTGAGTTACGATGGTTTTATAGGCCTGTTTGGATCAGCTCGAGCCAGAGACGAGTTCATTATAAATTATTATCAATCTTTTTGTATCAACAGCAACAACCTGTTTTTTGCGTTTGTTTCTTTATTTATTTGGTTTATGGGCATTAACGCGAAACAGACAACATGTTTGTCTTTATGCTAATAGAGCTCTTTGACGTTGACAGGCATCCATAAACGAGAGACACTGTGTCGCTTTGGATGATACACATTGTATACTCGTACACCCCATGCGAATGGAAACATGTTTTTATGCATACCCATGTATCACAAAATCATACGTCAATTGCATACATAATTTATTGGCTCTAGGGCGATAAAAGACTTGCCAAAAGGAGATGAGTAGGTGGAGGTGCTTACACCTCTGTTTCGGCATAAAATAAACTCTAGGATCTTGAAACTATACTTTTGAATAAGAAATAGCAAAGAGAAGACCCCATTAATAGCATACCCTTTCATTCAAAGATGTATAGATATAGCTGGAGTGCTCAGAGTGCGAAATCTACATATGTTTGCTAATTGATCAGTTATTAGGAAATGTTAACATGTTAACAATAAAGCAATAAAGCAATCTGTTCACAACAGATTTAAACAGTCTTTGAAGAGTACTATGGACAATCTTGCAGAAAATTCTGGATTTTATTCTGAGAACATATTTTATTGGAGAAAATTGGTCAGTCTATTGCCCCATATATGTAGTTGCACTGGGCACGTTTTTACCTTAGATATATTTATATATTATACATTATTGTTAGGGATTATATGTCGGTCAGAGGTGCATATATTGGTCATAATTTTTAGCCGAAATGTTTTATCAAGCGATTGAGAACGATAAATACTATATCTCTGAATCAACTTCCTAACTATTTTGTCACTAGGTAAACTGCTAATGGCTTATAACACTAATTTGTTAGGTTTATATTCTCTATCTACAAAAATACCCTCTTCATAGTACTTACAGAATGGAAAGGAGTCTTCAATTCGATCGTACGAGTATGTATATTTTAGATGTATTCATATTCCCTTTATGGGCTTTCCTATTCAAAGATCGTATAAATTGTAATCAAAAGATTCGTTTTAGGTACAACAAAGACTTTATTAATTCCTATTCATCTTTTTCTTGATATTCCCACTGAATTATTTATTTATTTGGTGTATCCATTTTTTTTTTTTGTGCAAGATTTTACTTAGTTTTATGATCTTCATTGTATGGATTTACAAGAGTCTTCCAAAGAGGGGGGAAATGTTTAAAAACTGGCTTCAAAATAAGACCCTTTGTCGTTCTTTGTCTGTCTCCTCAGTCCCTCATAAATGGAAGAGGCCTCCCACACTCCCACTCCCATCAGCGATTCTCCATTTTCGGTTTTGGGTTTCGGCTTCCAGAGATCGGATCGTTTTGCAGCTGTTAAACTTTTTGACCATTCGTTGTTTTATGCAAATCATGTTGGTGGGGTATCGTATCTGTTTCTGTTTCTACTACTTTTCAGTTTCATTGTTTAGCTATTCAATTCAATTCATAAGATTGTTGCAATTTTTTTTTCTTCTCAGTTTTGAATATTTATGGAGCTTGATTTTAATTTTTCCGCGAAAGAGTTACCACGCCAGCGAATGGATGGGGGACTCTGACGGGGAGATGGAGCTGCAGATGAATATGAAGATGGTGATGGAGGCTGTTCGCACAGCTATTAGTCATAATTAAGCCAAACTGTGCCCGGGGTTGGCAGGGGCCCTCAACTCGACATTTTCTGTTGGCTTTGGCTTTGTTTTATAATTTTTAACTTCATTTTCGCGGCTGGTGTGGTGTGAGGTGCGTGGCGCGTGTTTTGAGCCGCCAGGCGCAGAAGTATCCGCCTCGGATATCTCCCATAATCGCCGCAACAGTATTATCATTACAATGATTCAATTTTCGGGCTGGTCTTTGGCTTCTTCTAGGGGCCATCGCATTTGTAAGCCGCCGCATAACGAACTTATCTATGATCGCCTAAGCACGCCTACGAAACGCATGCATAAAACATCGGTATGAAGATCATGATCATATCTACCAAACAATCGGAGGCCCCCAAATCGTACGTAACTTATGGGCCGTTGCAAATGTCCGAAGGTTGGGCCCGCACATGTCTCCAGTTGAGAGAAATATTTCTGTCACTGCATTGGATAACTTTAGTTGCAGTCCTTAAATAATTAGTAATAGTAAATAAAGTAAATAAACTATGAAAGACTCCCCTTTTTCGTAATATACAAATGTACATACTTGTATATCTTTAAGGGTTCTTCGAATTATTCTCCTTCTTGTGTAAACTTTGGAACATAATCCACAAAATTCTCTACGTACCACCATAAATGTACATATGTATCCCAGTTTATAGCTCATCGTACCAACATAATATTCTTATTCAATTTTTGTCACTATTTCAGTTACCCAAATCCTATGATATCATATCCTAACTTGTTTTAGACTTTTTCTTAACGTATCATATCCAAACCTATTCTCAGCCCATCATAGCCTTTTCATTCCAACGATAATATAAATATTAAAATGGGTAGAGCCCAACGCTCTCCTGTGGTCTTTCAACAAAAATGTAATGAGCCTAAAGCCACCCTTTAACGAGGGGGAACGTTGTGAGTTGCTGCGGACACCGCAACTCTACAGTTATACCCGATACTAAGTCAGTATGGCTCTCCTCCGTCTGGACGTTACACACATCCACTTTTACCACAAATCTAATATACCCCAATACTCATTTTGAGTATCGGGTATAAAAATCGTGTATCATTGCTCTTTGGTCATACCCTGCGTATAACAATGTCTAAGTTGCATATATCTAATTACATTTCAATCAAATCTTTTTCTATACTCGCATATATTCGAAATACTATATAGTTTTTAGATCTTTGCACCAATTATTTTAAAGGCAACCTTTCACTCCTCTACCACACGTCGTTTTGCCACTATACTAAAACCTATATACAACACCCAAGCGTTGAACCTCTTAGCTAATAGACAGCACCTCGCATGTCCATCTGCAATGGGGGAATACAGGTCCAAGTCAATGCACTTAGCTCATTACGCACCCATCCATCCATCCATCGAAGGTGTCAATTGCCCAGATACAGAAGCAAATGAACAGATCGAGCGTCGGGCGTCGGGTGTCGGGATAGTCCAGGCAACAAGCGATTGATAAATATTTAAACCATTTTTGCACAGTCGCACAGCAGTTTTGGCATCTCGTTTTCCGCCTTCGCTTTGCTCCGGTGTGCTATCAAGTTTAGGATTAGGCTCTCTATCTGTATCTCTGTTGTCCGGGCTCTTTGGTTGGGGCTAGGCCATTGTGCCATTGTTGGAATAGCAGCGTCGTGCGTTTTGGTCATTTATTAATCAGCACCAAAATGAAATGTGTTTTGCATGATTTTATTATTGGTCGTCTGCATTAGCATGCCGCGTGTCCCCCCTTGACCTTACACCATGGTACCAACTGTCATCTGCCACCTTCCACCATCCACCGTCCACCATCTTCCACCTTCCAACTGCCATCTGCATGAGCGGACCGAACCAATTAAGAGGAAACCAAGCCTCTGCGGATATGGACAAACGCTTGTAACTATAAATACTCGATGGTGCTCTGAGATGGGCATCAGTTTATCGGTCTCGTTCGTTTGGTGTACCTCGTGCCTTTGTGACCCTAAGTGAAGATGGTAAGCCCTATCTGTGTTCAAACTATCTGCATTTTTTTCTGGTGACAAGTGCTAATCATTGGTGTATTTTTTCTATGGTTTCCTCTCTCTAGAAACCATTTGCCTTTATCGTTCTGGCTGCCTGCAGTCTGGCCCTCGTTCAGGCCCGTCCGGATGTGAGTCATCTGCTGAAATCGAACCGGAACTACCTTCCACCACTGCCGCAGAAGGAGGTCTCGGCTAGCCAGAGCTACCAGCAGATCGCCCAGCCCCAGCCCCAGCCCCAGTACCAGAATCAGGTCCAGTCCCAATCATTCCCCCAGGTGGAGTCCATTCAGGCATCCATCCCATTGGCCAGCTTCTCCATCCAGTCTGGCGGACAATACCAGTCTACCGCTCCAGCTCCAGCTCCAGTTCAAGTCTCGATCGCAGCCCCTGCTCCAGCTCAGATCTCGATTCCCGCTCCGGCTCCCGTTCAAGTGCAGGCCTCTGCCCCAGCTCCCCAAGTGATCTATGAGGCACCCAAGCCGATTGCTGCCACCCAAACCACGGTGCACAACGCCTATCTGCCCCCAGCGGCACCTGTCCAGCAGTTCGTGCCCGCTCCCGAGCCAGTTGTGCAAACGACGGTGCAGCAAACCGCTGCACCCGCTCCGGTGGTTCAACAGACTTACTCCGCTCCAGTGATTCAACAGACCTACACTGCTCCTGCCCCAGTGGTTCAGGAACAGACGTACAGCGCACCAGCCCCCGTGGTTCAACAAACCTACTCGGCTCCCGCACCTGTGGTTCAAGAACAGACCTCTTCATATCCCGCTCCCGCTCCTATTGTGCAACAGACTTATACTGCCCCAGCTCCAGTTGTCCAACAGACCTATACAGCTCCTGCCCCGGTGGTTCAGGAACAGACGTACTCCGCTCCAGCACCAGTTGTACAACAGACCTACTCTGCTCCTGCTCCTGTGGTCCAGGAACAGACGTACAGCGCACCAGCTCCAGTGGTCCAACAAACCTACTCAGCTCCCGCTCCGGTGATCCAGGAACAAACATACGAATCTCCAGCCCCAGTAGCTCAGCAGACCTTCTCGGCTCCCGCGCCAGTGGTTCAAGAACAGACCTATTCATATCCCGCTCCTGCTCCTGTGGTTCAACAGACATACTCGGCCCCTGCTCCCGTTGTCCAACAGACCTACTCTGCTCCTGCTCCTGCGATCCAGGAACAGACCTATTCTGCTCCCGCTCCGGTGGTGCAGCAGACCTACTCTGCTCCCGCTCCGGTGGTGCAGCAGACCTACTCTGCCCCGGCTCCAGTGGTCCAGGAACAAACATACGAGGCTCCAGCCCCAGTAGTTCAGCAGACCTACTCTGCTCCTGCTCCTGTGGTCCAAGAACAGACGTACAGCGCACCCGCTCCCGTGGTCCAACAGACATACACTGCTCCCGCTCCTGTGGTGCAGCAGACCTACTCTGCTCCTGCACCTGTGGTGCAACAGACCTACTCTGCTCCTGCTCCTGTGGTCCAGGAACAACAGTACACTGCTCCTGCTCCTGCTCCCGTTGTTCAGCAAACTTATACTGCTCCGATCTCGATTCCTGAACCAGTTCAGCAGACCGTTAGCATCAGTGCTCCAGCCCAGCCTCAGCAGCAATACAGTGGCTACAGCTACCAGGCTCCAATCCAGCAGAAAACCACCACTTACGCGGCTCCAGCTCCTGTTCAGTTCCAGCAATCGTTTGTGCCCGCACCTCCAGCACCAGCACCAGCACCCATCCAGATTCAGGCCCAGCCCCAGCCCCAGCCAATCGTTCAGTATACGCCACAGGTGCCGACATACAACAGCTACACTCCATCCGCACCATCACCCATCGTCCAACAGACGGCAAATGTAGTGACGACCTCCACGGCCACGAATGAGATCGGCACCGACTACGCTGCCAATGGCGGCTACGTCTACGAGAAGCATTGAGATGCTTGTGAAAGGACCCCAGCAGATGTCCGAACTCGCATCGAGTTGTGGATCGTTAGGCGAACGTTAATTGCTGATCGTTTCATCAGAACTTATTGTTACTTAGTCAATTTCTAGCACCAATTAGTTTTATTATATAGAATTTATACAATTCTTTTTTTTACAACCTGTTTTCCAATAAAAAAGAAGGACTTATTCTTTGAAAAAAATTCCATTTCAAGAACTGCGAATACCTTTAAACCCTAGTACCGAGTCATATGTACATATGTATATTAGGAATGCATAACGAGTAACGAGTACGAGTAACGAGCTTTGTTCGTTCTGGCGGCTGTGGCGTGGCTGCCGTAGTCCTGCTGGATCTCCTGTACCTGAGTTTGTTTTGGATATTTTTGCACTTTTTCCTTCATCACGGTTGCCTTCAATTCTCAATCAAACAAACCCGCAAAGCAACATGATTACTCAATTTTCTAAATTTATAAAAATAAACTCTGTTTCCTGGTTCTCTAATTGTAAATCCCAAATGGCCATTATCCGAGACTTGAGCGATGAAGAACGCGGGATTTTGGATGGTTGGCTACAGCTCAACAATATCCCGCATACCTATCGCGATGAAAAGGAGTTCTGCGACGCACTGCAGGTGGCAAGGATTTTCAATAGGATCCAACCAGGACTTGATGACCTTATTAGCTACTCGCCGTGCATTAGCCTGCCGTTAAACTTTTTGAACTGGCAAATCTTCAATCAGCGGGTCTTACGAAAACTTGACATGGGCGTGTCCCTTAGGGATCTAGAAAAGCTGGCGTTGGGCTGTCCCAAAGCCATTGACTCCTTGCTCTTCACTCTGATGGCCAATGAGTCCCTCTTGAAGAAGAATAAAATATAGAAGGACTGCGCCTATAGCAGGCTGTGGCCTGGGAAGTACTGATCGAAATATTGGGGCATAAAAAAAGGCAATATATTATTTTATTAATTAATTAATTTCAATTATTAAATAAGCTATAACTATGGGAATAATGTGGTTGGCTAGATCAGGGGTTTTTCCTATGGGGAAGGGGTTGGACTCGGATACCACGGATACTCCGTGCACTTTGAAAGCCTTTCAAAGACATTGCCACAAAGGTAATCCCCTGAAAATGATAAATTACTCAACCGTTCAATGTTCTGGGCTTTTGCTTTCGCTTTGATGGATGATTGGGAGGGCGGATGGCCCCGAGATGAGTAAGTGACGGGAGCCGACTTATGAATGGGGGGGACTTGGGACTCTTCTCCAGTAACGAGTTATACAATTTCTTCGACTTTGGCCGCGTCTCGCTCTTCTCTTCCCTACAGAATTCGGACAGAATTTGGAATATTATGGGCGGCTAATGAGCTTGGCGAGTCATCGCCAGCGGAGGAGAATGGAAACTTAATTCAGACGAAATGTTTCATTATTATTATTTCTCTTTTATTTTCGGGTATACATATGGCAAATAGAAGCCATGGGACAGGTATGTATGTATGTGTGCCCGAGTATAGGCGATATAGTTTATGGTCTTTTGTATTCACAAACCTCTCGCATTTGTTCTGGTTCTCGGTCCAGGCGCCTTTTGACATTCGTATATCAAGTTGGTTAAAATTTCGCCTATAAATATCTTCCGATCTGTGACATTCAGCTAGTAATCTCCCGTCTTCGGTCCCAGTAACATGGTAAGCCCCAGCAGCACTCTTCCCGTCCACGGTCCTCTCCTAACCGTAGCTTCTCTGCGACTCTTCTCCAGCAACTCTTCGCCGTCCTCTCGCTCGCCCTCGTGGCCCTGGCCTCGGCCGATGTCAGCCACCTGAGCAACACCTACCTGCCGCCCCGCTCTGGCGCCGCCTCTACCAGCTACGAGTCCTACCAGTCGGCTCCCGCCGAGTCCGCCTCCTTTGCCTCAGAGTCCTACTCCGCCCCAGCGGAAGCCGCATCTTCCACAGACGACAGCGAGTCGTATGTTGCTCCTGCCGCCACTTACAACAGCGAGTCGTATGCCGCTCCTGCCGAGTCATACGCCGAGACCGCCGCTGAGGAGACCTACGCCCAGCCCGCCGCTGTTGCTGCTGCCTCGTACTCCGCCCCCGTGGTGACCAAGACCTACTCTGCCCCAGCTGTGACTTCCTACACGAAGACCTACACTGCCCCAGCCGTGACTTCCTACACTGCTCCCGCTGTGGTGAAGACCTACTCCGCGCCAGCCGTGACTTCCTACACTGCTCCCGCTGTGGTGAGGAGCTATTCCGCCCCAGCCGTGACTTCTTACACGAAGACCTACTCAGCCCCAGCCGTGACCTCCTACACTGCTCCCGCTGTTGTGAAGACCTACTCCGCGCCAGCCGTGACTTCCTACACTGCTCCCGCTGTGGTGAAGAGCTATTCCGCCCCAGCCGTGACTTCTTACACGAAGACCTACTCAGCCCCAGCCGTGACCTCCTACACTGCTCCCGCTGTCGTGAAGACCTACTCCGCGCCAGCCGTGACTTCCTACACTGCTCCTGCTGTTGTGAAGACCTACTCAGCCCCAGCCGTCTCCTCCTACACCGCTCCAGCTGTGGTGAAGAGCTATTCCGCCCCAGCCGTGACTTCTTACACGAAGACCTACTCAGCCCCAGCCGTGACCTCCTACACTGCTCCCGCTGTCGTGAAGACCTACTCCGCGCCATCCGTGACTTCCTACACTGCTCCCGCTGTTGTAAAGACCTACTCAGCCCCAGCCGTGTCCTCCTACACCGCTCCAGCTGTGTCCACCTACTCGGCACCTGCCGTATCCACCTACTCGGCGCCTGCCGTATCCACCTACCGCGCTCCAGCCGTGGTCAGCGGATACTCTGGCATCGACACCACCTACGGCACTAACGGTGGATATGTCTATTAGACACTGAACCCGAATCTTGTCATAATGCGAGCACTTTTTTTTTATAAATCGAAATCAAATAATCGAGCTTTTCAACGTATTTTTTTTCAACGAATTGTAGAATATGTTTAAATGGCAGCAATCGTATGATCATTCCTACGAATGCAAAGCTCCAACGGGATTTTTTAGAAACGAAAGGACTTTTTTGTAAGTAATGTGAAATAAGGAAATTGGGCATACCAGAAACGCACCAGATTCCGACTCCAGCAGACTCTGTCCTATACACTTGACTAAATGCCTATTAAGAAGATGGTCCATGGTCCACAAAATTCTGCTGGTAGGCCCTTATATGGTCGTATATTAACGGATCCTAACCAAAGAGTCTGGAACAACAACCGATTTCTTCTATGACCAATATTTTATAAGTTCACGTTGTGAGGTGACGTCGTCCGATGTGGTGAAGGTCCATCCCTTTTGTTTCAACTCGCTCTCTCGGCTCTCGGAGAGACAAGCGCTAAAAAGAGATAGCGAACGTAATACGCTCTGCACGTTTGACGAACGGATAGACCCTCGAAAGAGAGCAGATGTGGTGACGACGTCACCCTATTAGTAAATTCAGGTTTCCCTGGAGTGCTTCGAAGCCTATGGCTGGTCGCACATTGCTGCGAGCTTTTAAAGTACATAAGTTCCATTCATATGTGTTTCTTCTGACTGCAAAAACAGCATAAACCGTTTTTTATTTCTCAAAATGAGCTTATAAAAAAATTAACCATGCCGTTCCTAGTTTATGCCACTGTGGCTCAACATCATTATGGATAGATAGACACCTCAACGAAACTAATTAGATATCCATAAGTATAGCAAATAAAAACAATAAATACATTTTCCAAACATTTATTTGCCATTAGAGAAACTTATTAATTATACAAATCGAACCGAATAACTCAAAGAGCAATCCGCAAACAGAGCAAACCAAAAACATTCGAGTATCTGTGTGTGTGGCTATCGTCAGGCAAGTGCCCCCCATATATGTACGACTGGATATACCCGTATGCAGCAAATACATGTGCATATATTCAGCTGAAAATTTGCATCTTTTGGCTGTGAATGGATATATCGCGTGTGCATTACATATATATACATATATGTATATATATACATAATCATATATAAACAGTATCTGTTAGTGCGAAATCGAAATCGGGTTAATGTCCAAAACTTGTTATGACCAAAACGGACAATGCAAAACTCGCACAAAAAGGTAAGAAATACAATAAAAACGAAGATCCAAAAGAGTTCACAGCGAACTGAACAAAAGGCGCAGCCCTGAGAGAGCAAGTGATCTTCCTGGTGCACCAGAATGCTGACCAGAATCCCATCTGAGGATATATATAAGAATGCAGCAGACCGAAAACAGAACCGCATTGAGGCAGTGCCCGCAGACGCAAAAACACATATTACATAAGAGCCCAAGGAACAATACCGTCATGCATTCCATGGTATTCCTTGTGGCACTCTCCATCTGCCTGACGACGATGATGCCAGTCCTGTCCCAGCCACAGCCACATCCACTCGCAGCCGCTGCAGGAGAAGCAGTTCCAACCACAGTCAGACCGAAACTCATCATCGAAGAGGAGGCAGAGCCGATGATCTATCAGCGCATCACCGAACACCGTCCGATCGCGTTGGGCCAGAACTATTACATCAAGCCGGGACAGATAGTTGGCAGCATTAACCTTGGCTCGCAGAGCGTTCATGTGAGGCATGATGAGGAGAGCCGCAAGCCCATAGCCAGCAAGCACAACATCCTTTTTGTGGCATATGCCAAGGACTTGCTGAAAAATAGCCAGGCCAAGGAGTAGACCGCCCCTAGTTACGAGTATATATAAGTAATACGATACGATGTTCTTTAATACAAACTCAAAAGCAACTCTTCTGCATTGATTCTTATTTGGGGCATGGGAACCCAGCATCCCAGCATCCATTCACTTTCGAAGCTACAAGAGAACTGATCGCAATCCCAAAACCATTATTCCATTACGCACAACGAAAGCCGAAAACTGTGAAGTATTATATCTCTTAAATGGATACTCTATAGCGCACAGATGTCCATAGTGTATCCCTCGATATAGATCTATAATCTATAGATTGTCTCTCAAATTATATAGCAATTTTTGACACTTTAGAAACGATTCCCTTCCCAAGTACATTTCTCGACGACGACGAGGTCTCAATATTTGACTCATATAGGGGCGAGCGAAGCGAAGCAGGTGGATTGCCCCCTAGTTGTTCTTTTATTAGTAGTTTTCTGCATCTTACTATAAAATGTTATTACCATCCCATCCATAATATGTACGAGTATATATCTAATCGAATCTCTTGATGAATCAGCCAGAGTATTTGAGGCTTCGGATCCGCCTAAAAATAAGCTTTCTTTCTTGGTTAATATTTGTTATTGGATTTGCTGTTAATTCCCCCATTTTTGCTGTTCATCTCTTCTTAGCCTTCTGTTTTAATTATATAAGCTCACGCAAAAGGTATAAACAATTGGCTTTCGAGAACTGACGGCTGATGCAGAATGATGGGAGGAGAGGCCCGAGAGGCGACTATTAAGCCAGGCCAGATACGTACGTCTACGATGTATGGTGTTTATTATAATTAATGTGTATTGTGAGTAATCGTCGCCTTTAGACGCGGGCTGTTGTCGGCCCAGTGTCAGTGTCAGTGCTGCATGGGGGCTCTCTGTGAGTCGATGCGATCCGTTAACGATTGGATTGGATTGAATTGGATTACTTGTTTCACGTTCACGATCTCGGGAATCTCAAAGTCTGCTGCTGCTGATGCTTTGGGTATTTTTGCTCTTTCGCGAACTCTCGCCAGCCAGCCAGCTATAAAGCGCATCATTAATTACACTTTCGAGGCTTCTGCGTCGGTGACTTCCGAAATGGACATGGCTAAAAATAAACGCTCAAATAAATAGACTCAACGACATCCTCCAATCGCGCCATTCTTCATCAACACTGGACAGCACAATTTTTGGGCCAATGTACTCGTAAGATACGTTCCAAATGAAACTCTAACGGGAAGTGCTATATCCCAGGGCTACAAGATGTATTATATTTAAGGCACTAGTAACAAACATCTGATACATATACACATATGTATCTATGTATGTACCAGAGCCCTGCATGAACAAGCAAGCGAATCGATTCGGTAGGATTCGGTATTCGCTTCGTTCGGACAGTTCTTATTAGATGGAATAATATCGAATCATTACACTCTCTATTTGATTTTCTGGTAGAGAGAAAGAGCAGGATGCTGGTTTTTTTGATAAATACTGTAATTAGATTAGTCGTAGATACATGCATTGCATATGTTTGTATGTATCATCAGAATCCGAACTTGTTGCACAGTGTAACTATCCAGTGGCCGGCCACCGAAGCTCTAGTCATCAGCTCTTGTCGTAGCGCCATTCCAATCCGTTTTGTTCGGCTCGTTTCGTTCTAAAATATTGTTTTGCTTCTACTCGTACTCGTACTTCGGATCTATCTATCTTTCCATCTATCCATCTTTTCTTTTTTGCCTCGGTTCACCTCTTTTGTTTGTGCGTCGATTTAAGATTTTTACTCGCACACACCTTTTGTTCGGTGTCTCTATAAAAGTGTCGGCTCATGCCACCACTGGCATCAGTTCCAGTTCCCAGCTCACGGGAAGCACCCAACTACCAACCACCACCCATCTGTCAAATCATCATGGTAAATATTCTATGCAGCAGATCTCCAGATCCACCAGAGACTCAATCCAATCCGTTCTTTGACAGCACTCCTTTGTGGCCTGCACCGCTGTGTTGCTTGCCGTGACCTCTCTGGCCATGGCCAGTCCTTTGGGCAGCTCGTACCTGCCACCCCAGGCCAATGCCCACAGCACTTACAACACGGCCGCCTCCAGCTCCACCGGCCATTACGCAGCCCCCTCGGCCACATATGCGACCCGATCGCACGCGGCAGCGGCTCCGTCACGCCAGTATCTGGCGCCAGCGGCCGTCTCCCACAGCAGCAGCTACTCTGCTCCGGCCGTTTCGCACAGTAGCTACTCGGCCCCGGCTATTTCCCGCAGCAGCAGCTACTCCGTTCCGGCCGCCAGCCACACTAGCTACTCCGCCCCTATGGCCGCTCCATCTAGGCAGTACCTCGCCCCAGCCGCCTCCCACAGCAGCTACTCCGCTCCAGCCGCCTCCCACAGCAGCTACTCCAGTGCTGGCTCATCCTACTCCGCTCCGGCCGTGTCCTACAGCAGCTACTCCGCCCCAGTTGCCTCCCACAGCAGCTACTCGGCGCCTGCTGCCTCCCATACAAGCTACTCCGCTCCCGTGGCTGCCCCATCCAGACAGTACTTGGCTCCAGCTGCATCCCACAGCAGCTACTCCAGTGCTGGCTCGTCCTACTCCGCACCGGCCGTGTCCCACAGAAGCTACTCCGCGCCAGCCGTCTCGCACGGATACTCACACGGATCGAGTGGGGGATATTCCGCCCCAGCAGCTGTCTCCCATGTCAGCTACTCGGCACCGGCTCGCTATGCATCCCGCTCGGGCTATGGAGCTGGAGGCCACTCCTCGTCCTTCTCGTCGGGCAGCAGCAGCTACGGACATGGCCACTCCGGAGCCACTCGCTATGCCTCCAACGGTGGCTATGAATACCGCCTGAAGCATTAAACGGATCTCAAATGGTATCGGTAGTACCGATTCAAGATACTAACCGAACGATTATATCCAACTCCTTCTTTTGTTTTTGTATCAATGGAAATAAAGTGATTGATTTAATAATCCTATCCGCCATTTCCTCCCTAGGATGCCACTCCTTATGGCTCAAGTAGAATCCAATTAGTATTCTGATCTTGGATGCACCGCACTCATAATGTACATATCGATGAGTTGCCATCGAACTCCCACTGCAGATAGTATGCCTAGAAGACGGCCCCCGCCCACGAAATTAGCTGATTCTTACCTGCTTTCGCAACTGAGGACAACTATACACCCTCAGTTGCTGTCAGACGCACAGCATGCCTACCGGAAAGGAAAATCCACGGAAACGGCTCTTCATGAAGTGATCTCTGCGGTAGAGAAATCTCTGCATCACAAAGAGTACTCACTCATAGCATTTCTCGACATTGAGGGAGCTTTTAACAACGTTGTACCGGGTGCCATTACAGAAGCCCTGACTGACCTGGGGGTGGACCGTCACTTGGTGATGCTCATTGATCCGCCCAGTCAAGGTATGTCAACAGAGGCACCCCGCAAGGTGGTGTCCTGTCTCCTCTTCTGTGGAACATAGCAGTCAACAAGATTCTATGGGACCTGGAGGGGGGGGGCTGCAAAGTCGTGGCCTATGCGGATGACGTTGCGATTATTTTCTCGGGGAAATACCCCCAAACACTGTGCGACTTAATGTCCACAAAGCTAGCGCAACTGTCGGACTGGACGAAATCGCGCGGTCTGGGAGTAAATCCCTCAAAAACGGAACTCGTGTTATTCACAAATAAATACAAGGTCCCGCCCCTCAACCCTCCAATACTACAAGGATGCAGGCTCTCCTTTAGCGACAGTGCCAGTTACTTAGGGTTGGTAATTGACAAGAAGCTTAACTGGAACCTGAATGTCAAAGACAGAGTGAAAAAGGCAATGACTGCACTCTATACATGCAAAAAAGCTATTGGGCTAAGATGGGGTATGATCCCAAGCATAGTCCAATGGATATATCAAGCTATAGTTAGACCAATACTACTCTACGGAGTTACGGTGTGGTGGCCAGCCCTATCAAAAAGGGCGATCACCAAGCAACTGGGCAAAGTCCAGCGGACTGCCGCCCTATGCATCAGCGGAGCTCTCCGCACCACCCCAAATGATGCGCTAAATGCCATCCTATGCCTACAGAGCCTTGAACTCGCAGGAAAGGAACGGGCAGAAGCAGCAGCAATACGTCTAAGAGACTCAGATCAATGGGTGACACAGTGCATAGGTCACTCAGCCATATTAAATAGCAGTACTGTCCCCTCAAAAACAGACTACCAAGTTCCAAGAGAGTATACAGACACTCCCTTCGACACAATCATCCCTCATAGAGACGAATGGCTCGAGGGACTCCCAGGCCCTGAAGGGGCCATAAGCATCTTCACAGATGGATCAAAGCTGGACGACAGAGTCGGAGGGGGAATCTACTCTGAACAGCTAAACATAAGGCATTCCTTCAGACTCCCAGATCATTGCAGTGTCTTTCAAGCGGAAGTCATAGCAATCAGGGAGGCACTAGACTGCCTACAAGCGGCTGCCGTCACGGCAACCAAGCTAAACATTTATAGCGACAGCCAAGCTGCGATCAAATCGCTAAGCGCGATTTCCTCGAACTCGGCCACCGTGGCAGACTGCCGCAAATCTCTACACGAGATGGCTCAGCAATTTGCTATTAGCCTAATTTGGGTCCCGGGCCACCGGGACATCGAGGGCAACTGTATAGCGGACGAGCTGGCCAGATCTGGCACTACAATCCCCCTTCTCCAAGACAAGGAGGATATCTGTATGCCAATGGCCACCTGTAAGCTCATCATAAGGGAGCAATACAAGCGACTAAAAAACGATATGTGGCAAACAGTGCCACGATGTCGCACAACTCGGCAAACATGGCCGACCATGGACATGAAGCGCACCTCCGAGCTCCTCAAGTTAAGCAGGAAAAGGTGCAGCGTAGTCACTCGTTCCCTCACGGGACACTGGCTAATAGGCACTCACGCTAACAGGCTGGGGGCCCCACATAACGATTTTTGTCGCAGCTGTAGAGACGAGGAAGAGGAGGAGACAGTGGAACATCTGTTCTGCTCCTGCCCGGCTCTCAGCAGAAGAAGGCTACAACACCTGGGCTCAGCCTTTCTACACGACATCTCAGAGATGTCCAAACTATGTCCCAGAAGGATAGCGAACTTTGTGAGAGCATCTGGATGGGATAATTGCTGACAGGAAGTCTCACAACGCAGGAAGGAAATGATCCTATGCGGTATCACAACGGGCCGAAACCGGCCTAAGTGTGACGGGCTCCGAGCGAGCCCGGCAGCCGCCTCAACCTAACCTAACCTAACCTACCTGCTTTCGCATCTACTCGTTAGCCGTGAGGATTGCGCGTATTGTCTGTTTTGCCGACAAAGGAACACAAAATACGGAATCTCTACAGACCCTCCTGAAAATGACCGTATATGCCATCTTACTCTAGAAGATTGATATTAATAGGCCTTCCATCCTTAGTTAATCGTAGAAAAATGCTTGGTGTGATTTATAGGCACAACTTGATCAAGGGTGACGTAGATAGCCCTGATCTGTTGGGGCGCATAAACTTTACGATTACTATTAGATTCACTGGAAACTATATATCGTTGTCCCTTCCACTTTGTAGATCAAATTATTCCTTGTATGAACCGTTTATGGTCTTATGCTCGGATTTTAATACCCTCTACCACATTATATTCACCACTAATTCCCTTCCTCTATTAATTTTAGTTATAATTTTCCTCTCATAATAATCTAACAGCTATCTGACCTGCATGTTCATGGCACAGCTCGTCAGATTCTATGCCGAATCGTTGCTGCCTGCCTCCTCTCGCTGATCATCTCTCGACTCTCCAATGATTAGCGTCCTCGTTGAACTGAGAACGACGAGGGGTTGGATCTAAATTAAAAAACGAAGATCACACAGAGTTATTGCAATCTTAGAATCCGTTTGGAGATAATTATTTCTCGATTGTGTATATAATTTTTAATGGATGAACTTTTTTTATTTATTATAGCAGAAAAAAAAAGGTTAATATGCTCTTCGGAGTGTTTTGCAACGCTAGTGGATTACTGCCCTCCAATTCTTGGTCCATGGATGCGGTGCATCTAGTAGACATACCCTCCGTTGCTGGCGTATTTGGTGTCCAGGCCATTGTAGCCGGAGTACCCGGAGTAGCCTGTGTCCGCCGGCAGATATGTGCGCGAGGGCGCTGCATAAGCATTGTACTGTGGCACCGCATAGCTTTTGTAGCTGGACGAGATCAGAGGAGAGCCATAGGTTGAACCGGAGCCGGAGTAGTAGCCACCGGTCGAGTACGTTGTTGGATACGAGGAGTAGCCCGTGTTATAGCCGCCCGAATAGCCATTGTATCCACCGTTGTATCCAATGCTCTGGGGGGGCAAATAGCTGCGCGACAGGTGGGAGACATCGGCGTTACACAGGGCCAGAGACGCAGCAACGATGACGAGCACAGCGATGGAGTTCTGTGTGGAGAAGTTTCAAAGAAATCTTAGATTTTTCCGTGGTATTGCGAACACAATGAAGGAAGTCGACTACTTGCCATGGTATTGCTTTAAGAGGATTCGTAGGGATTGGCTGTATGCACTGAATGGATGCCGTCGAAAAACTGTTGCCGATTCTGCTGCTGGCTCTACTTTTTATACGCTTCTAAGACTGAATTATATTATGCACCCAGATATGTATTTTTTTACAACTAATTTTAACGCCTTGCCCCGGCATGTCGGCGGACATGGCCCATTACTCAACGAACGGGCGGGCGGGCGGTTAACCGGACAGAAGACTCAAATGCTCAAAATGCTTAGAAATGTTCATCATGTTTTTCGGTGGTTGTCGTCGTGTCTCCCACGACGACAGTCATCCGTCCCCAAATTGGTTAGCAATGGGAAAACCACGTCTACTGTGCCATATGGAGTATTTTTGTTGGTGTTTTGTTGGTTTTTTTATTACTGAGGCACGCCCCCAACGGCGTGTGAAACGCTGGAGCTTCAAACATTGTCGCGTTTGCGCTTGCGCTCTCTTTCCTTAATTATACTCGTACAATTTAGATATATTGCTTTAAATGCTCTCTTCTGGTTTTGGTTTTTGTTTTTTTTTTGTTTACGACATCTGGCGGTCGCGCCGGCTAAAACGCTTTGGTCTTGTTTATATGCCGTCGCTCATAAATCCCAAGCTGCCCAGGTACCAGGGGGTCCGACCGTTATTAATTGTTGCAATGGGTCATTGAGTTTGGGGCAGATGGGTTTTGGTTTCGGTTTCGCATTGCAATCGCCTGCGCTGTCTACATGTCATGTGAACTGGCAGTGGATGTGCATGACATCACGGCAAAATGATTAATTGCTGCTTGTTTCTCTGCAATCCAATCCCTTTGAATTTAAATTTCAATTTCTATCAAGAGTGCTGCCACCCTGCGCTGCTACATCTGCAGAGTCAGTTGATCGAGCTTTGATCAGAGTGTAGAAAATTTATTCAGCAATAGGATACAATTATGTGGGCAGGGCTGATAGATCTAGATAGCATAGCTAGTAATATTCCACGGAATATCAAAATCAGTATGGTTACGGTATATTTTTAAAATGAAACGGTATATTTTGGTATATTTCGGAGGGTCGGACGGTATATAATCCGCGGTCACACTGGTAGGCAAAAAAGCTTAAAATTAAAAGGACGCTTAAAATGCCGGGAAAGAGAAAATATTGCAACCAGCCAGCGTCAAACTTTTCAGAAATTCTGGAAATGTCGGCGGACGTTCCACTAAACTTAACGAAAGAGCGAAATAAAGAAAATTCCGCGGTAGCGACGATACGGGCCATGCCGTCAATTGCTATGAACAGGAAATCATCAGATATCCAAGAGTACATACGATTAAATGCAGCGGAGGCAGTTCAAAAAACTATAAAAAAGGAGGCCCCGGCGGCCGTTCCACTATACTTAACGAAAGGGGCAATTGAAAAAAATAGAAAAAAGAAGGGAACGGATGCAGTTCCAAGAAACATAAGGAAGGTGACAGCCTCGGAGCTGAAACGGCTGAAAACAGAGCACACAGATAAGGCGTCACAACAAGAGACCGATCCGACCACCTCGCGTCCATCGCGAAAGAGGAAGCCGACCATCAAACAGGAGGAGCAGGAGGGGAAATGGATACTCGAATCACGCGCCTTCGCCACGGACGTCATTGAGAATGTTATATCGAGCCTTTATAATAATCTGACTGATCTGTCGAGCGCAGAGCTCAGATCGCTCCGCAAGGTGCGTTTGGTTTGGAAGCAGAAATACGAACTGGACGAACGCAAGCCCGAGTGGAATCAAAGTCAACTTTCACCAGCACCCCCGAAACGCAAATGCAAAACGACTGCAAAGAAGACACCGAAGCCAGGCTCAATACCGGCCAAAGAGAGGGACATACACGATGAAGAAGAAGATGAGGAAGACCTTGCCAACTATTACCATTGGGATGATTTGCCCGACGATGAAATCGTAGAGAATCAGATTAGCGTACCGCCCCTGTTGGAAAAGTATAGCTGCCGTCGGTTCGACATCAAGATGCCGGCGTTTGCCATGAAGAGGAATTTAATCCAGCCGCTATTCAGTTTGGAGCTGCTGGATAGGATTATGGAGCCGCCCCAGGTGGAGGGTACGAAAATATTGCAGCAAGTCGTCGATGAGATGCTCCGACAGTATCAGCAGGGACCACGCCCACATACATAGATGTGGAAATTAGTTAATCCCATACATAGATGTGAAAATCAGTTAATTTGTTTATTTCTTATGTTGTAACTTTAAGATTATGTTAAAACGCCGTACGCAAAACATTTGGTATTTCCGTCTACAGCGCTCACACTATTCTAACGGGTCCGTTCCATGGACTGGATGATGATGGCGTGATCCGCGGGCTGGAAAGAATTTGCTCGTTCAATTCTCTTTCGGCCTTCCAAGCTGCAAGCCACAATTTTTGTTGAATTTATTTTTTCGTTTTCTGTATGTTCTCTCACGTGAATAAAGTGTGAAAAGTAAATCGTTTTAAGTTTGTGTTGAATGTGCGTGGTGAAGGAGACCACAGAGGGCACCTGTTCGCAGCATCAGGGGAGTGAAATATATGGGCGTGGACGCACTATGCTCACCAGCGATTGGCCAATGCTCAACCTAACCTCTCACACAACGACCGTATGCAACGGGAACGGGAGCACCGACAATAGTTCCGATAATGTGCGAAGGAAACGTTATGGAGGCCATGGGCTCCCCCAAGTGTCCCGCCGCCCACTTTGGTGGTGCCGTCTGGCAGTGTTGCTGCTCATTTTCTGTGCGCTTGCTGCCGCCGCGTCGGGACCAGCGAACACGCGGTGCGATGAAGATCAATTCCAGTGCAGAGACGGTAGCTGCATCTTACAAGCGAAGATGTGTGACGCACGAAGCGACTGCACCGATGCCACAGATGAATTGGATTGCGGTAGGGCGGCTCAAACGCCATTTTCCAACCCCGCCCCTCCCCTCCCATCAGACCACCGATGGCATTGGCTCAACCTAACCTCACTTTCGTTGCAGACTACAAGCTGTGCCGGGAACCGCATTGGTTCCCGTGCGCCCAGCCACATGGAGCCTGCCTGGCAGCAGAACTAAAATGCAACGGCATCGACAACTGCCCCAACGGTGAGGACGAAATCAATTGTCCCTCTGGCATTTTAGGAATGTCCTCGCGCTTTGGCAGCTTCCGCAAGCTGCCGCGTAATTGCAGCGCCAGCGAGTACATGTGCCAGCGGGATCGCAGCTGTATTCCCATCGAGTTCCAGTGCGACGGCAAATCGGACTGTGCGGACAGCTCCGACGAGCTGGACGGCTGCAAGGAATCCCAGGCCAGCTGCAAGGGTCATCTCTGCCCCAATGGTCGCTGCCTGCAGCGAAAACAGTGGCTCTGCGACGGCGTCGACGACTGTGGTGATGGCAGCGACGAGCATGGTTGCGGTAAGATTTCACCACACTAAGACACTCTATAGTGTGTCCTGTATTCACGTATCTATCTGTATTTGTTTTGTCTCTTAGTGGATCTCTGCCAGCCGGAGATGGGAAAGTTCATGTGCCGCAACAAGGAGCATTGTTTGGAGCTGGCCAAAGTGTGTGACGGCCACAGCGACTGTTCGGATGGTAGCGATGAGTACGAGACCTGTAACAGCAAGCCCGATTGCAGCGCCAAGTCGTGCCCAGCGGGCGCCACCTGCCACATGATGCCCACCGATGGTGCGCAGTGCTATTGTCCTGCGGGCTTCCGGCTGGCCAAGTTCCAGAACAAATGCGAGGACATTGACGAGTGCCAGGAGCGCGAGTCAGAACTGTGCAGCCAGAGCTGTGAGAACACCTCCGGCGGCTATCGGTGCAGCTGCGATCCTGGCTACCTGCTGGCCAAGGATAATCGCACTTGTCGAGCGACGAACACTCATGGCAGCGAGCACCCCCTGCTGCTCTACACCACCCAAATGAACGTCATGGGCATGCACCTGGGCAGCAGGAACCACGTCTACCAGGTGGCCGGGAATCTGAGCAAAGTGATTGGCGTTGCGTACGATGGTAGCCACATCTACTGGACCAACATTCAGAACGAGGCTGAGAGCATTGTCAAGGCCAATGCGGACGGCACCCATGCCGAGATCCTGCTCACCTCCGGCCTCGATGCCCCCGAGGATCTGGCAGTTGACTGGCTCACGCAGAACATCTACTTTTCGGATAATGTGATGCGACACATTGCAGTCTGCTCCCACGATGCTCTCAACTGTGTCGTCCTCGTGACGGAGGATGTGCACCAGCCGCGCGGACTGGCGTTGTGGCCGCAGCGAGGACAAATGTTCTGGACCGATTGGGGCGTAAAGCCCATGATTGTGCGCGCCTCCATGGATGGGAAGCGCTCCACGCCGATTGTCAGCGAAAACATACACTGGCCGAACGGCATCGCCTTGGATATGCACCAGCAAAGGATCTACTGGGTGGACGCCAAGCTCGGGAGTGTCCAGACGGTCCGACCCGACGGCACCGGTCGTCGCACCGTACTCGATGGCATGCTGAAGCATCCGTACGGCCTGGCCGTGTACGAGGATCAGCTGTACTGGTCGGACTGGGGCACCAAGAGCATCCACGCCTGCCACAAGTACTCCGGCAAGCAACACCGAGTCCTGGCCAAAGATCGGACTATCTATGCGGTGCATATCTATCATTCGGCCAAGCAGCCGCAGACCCCCAATGCCTGCGCCACATCCAAATGCTCGCACCTGTGCCTCCTGGCCGAACCAGAGGTGGGCGGCCGCAGCTGCGCCTGTCCGGACGGTATGCGACTGGCGCCCGATCAGCAGCGTTGCATGCAGACGGTGAAGAGGCAGCGACTGTTTGTGGGCGTGGGCCAGTTCCTGCTGGAGATCGAGCACACGGCCTTTGGCAGGCATGTGGTGAGTGCCTCCCATGCCTTGGACATTGTCATCAGCGAGATGGTGTACAACAGCGTCAATGGCACCCTGATCATCGCGGACAATGAGCGCCGAATGATTGCGGAGTATCAACCGGGACTGGGACAAGGACGCCTGAGGACCCTGATCCATTCGAATCTGGGCAATGTGAGTGCTTTGGCCTTCGATCATCTCAGCCAGAATCTGTACTGGTCCGATGCCGAGCGTCGCGTTGTGGAGCTGTACTCCTTTCACACCCGACACCGGGCGCTCATCCGCTTCTTTGCTGGCCAAGAATCCCCCATTGGACTGAGTGTGATGCCCGCTGAGGGGTATCTGTATGTGGCCCTCAAGGCGCGCAGGCACACACACATCGATAGGCTGCCGCTGAGCGGCAAGGGTTCGCCGACGCATGTGTTCGAGGAGGAGCTGGGCGATGACGACATCAAGATGGCCACCGATCACGACCAGCATACGCTCTACTGGTCGGACAGCGATATGGGGATGATCAGCTACACGGACTATCGCCAGACACAGTCGATGACGTTCCGCAGCAAGCTGCGACGGCCCTACAGCCTGGCCCTGGTGCATCAGGATCTGTTTTGGAGCGAACTGGGATCGTCATCCATTTACTGGGCCCACAAGAGCAACATGGGTCCCCGCAAGCGGATCGATGTGGTGCCGACACGGGGCTCAGGCGACACCAACGGACACTCCATGTTCATGGAGGCAGCCCCCTGGCGTCTTGCTCTGGCCTCCAGTGCGCCGCCTTCGACCGACAGGGAAGAGCAGCAGCAGCATCCCTGCCAGCATCAGAACGGCGGCTGCTCGCACATCTGTGTGGGCGTGGGCCAACTGGCCGCCACCTGCCTCTGTCCCGTGGGTTTTGTGTATCGCGATGCCAGCAATCGGTCGTGCCTGGAGGCCCTCGACTGTGAGTTCCGTTGCCGCAGTTCCGGCGAGTGCCTGACCCTGGCCCATCGCTGCAACGGACGGCAGGACTGTGTGGATCGTTCCGATGAGCAGGACTGCGACGAGGAGGGGCACAAGCACAAGCCCAAGGTCATGTGCGGCCCCAGGCAGTTCGCCTGCCACAATGCCGAAGCCTGTGTGGACAAGGACAAGCGTTGCGATGGCCACAAGGACTGCCCCGACAATTCCGATGAGCAGCATTGTTTGCAGTTTGGTAAAGTGTGAATGCCAATCCCCTCCCCATTCGCATATTTATCTCCTTCCCTCTCTCTCTCTCTCTTTCCCAGACAAAACCAGGAGCTGCCACGTCCATCAGCTGGCCTGCGACAATGGCAAGTGCGTGGACCAGAGCCTCATGTGCGATGGCAAAAACGATTGCGGCGACAACACGGACGAGGACAAGGCCAAGTGCGACTCCCCCGCCAACTGCGATCAGGGGATGTTCCAGTGCAGCAATGGGGCCTGCATAGCCGCCAGCTGGGAGTGCGATGGCCGGATCGACTGCAGTGATGCCTCAGACGAGCACGACAAGTGCGGACATCGCCGATGTCCGCCGGATATGCATCGGTGCCTGTTGGGACAGTGTCTGGACAGGCGACTGGTCTGCGATGGCCACAACGATTGTGGGGATCTCTCGGATGAGCTCAACTGCGGATCAGAGGCCCATGCCAAGGCAAACATCTCCTGTGGATCCCTGCTCTATCAGTGTACCAGCAACCTGAAGCTTTGCCTCGATCCGGCAGTGCGCTGCAACGGCACCGCCGAGTGCCCTCGCGGCGAGGACGAGGCCGATTGTGGGGATATGTGCAGCATCAATGAGTTCCAGTGCCGCACCGGGAAGCAGTGCATCCGCAAGGAGTTCCACTGCGACCGCGCCAGAGACTGTCTCGATGGCAGCGATGAAGAAGCCTGCGACAAGATTCAGAACCAGACACTGAGCAAACCCTGGACCACGGCGAGCCGTGCCTGCCGTCCCCATCTATTCGACTGTCAGGATGGGGAGTGCGTGGACATGTCGCGCGTGTGCAACAGTTTCCCCGACTGCCAGAATGGCAGCGACGAGGGGCCGCAATGTGCGACGGCCTGCCGAGCCTCCGCCGGCGGCGGACGTCCTGTGTGCCAGCACAAGTGTCGTGCCACACCCGCGGGTGCTGTGTGCTCCTGCTTCGACGGATATCGTCTGGACACGGATCAACGGAGCTGTGTGGATGTAAACGAGTGCCTGGACGGCCAGCCGTGCGCCCAGATCTGTGAGAACACCCTCGGGGGCTACCAGTGCCAATGCCATGCGGACTTTATGCTGCGCCAGGATCGGGTCAGCTGCAAGAGCCTCCAGGCGGGCGCCACGCTACTCTTTAGCAGCTACAACGAAGTGAGGAATCTCAGCGAGCAGCCGATGATGCTGCAGGTGGCCTGGTCGGCCAATGACTCGCGCATCGATGGCTTCGATGTGGACATGGAACGGCAGATGGGCTACTTCTCCAGCGAGGAGCAGGGTGTCGTCTATCAGGTAGATATGCGTCGGCGCTTTATTGTGCGTGCCCTGGCGGTGCCATCGCCCACCAAAGTGGCCGTCGACTGGGCCACCGGCAACGTGTATGTCCTGGCCGGTGGTAGTGCCTCGCAGGAGATCTACGCGTGCAGTTTCCCGGCTCGCATGTGCGGCCGCATTCTCCAGGTGAAGACACACATGCATCTGAGGCACCTGGCCATCGACGGCTACCATGGGCGACTCTTCTACATTGCCATGCGATTGGAGGGCTTTGGGCATGCCAGCGCCGAGCTGCATGTGGCCCGTCTCGATGGCAGCCACAAGGAGCTTATGCTGCACAAAAAAGACAGCTATATGACGGCCCTGGCCCTCGATCCGCATCAGCAGCAGCTATACTACCTGGATATGCACAGCCGCACGCTCGAGAGGATCAGCTATAGGACAAGGTCCGGTACGGGGCCACATCGCCGGCCCGAGATGATGCTCCAGAAGTCCAATGCCCTGAAACAGCCCTCGGGGCTGAGCATCTACGAGAATCACGCGTACATCGTCAATCTCGGCTCCAAGGAGGCGGTGCGGTGTCGACTGTACGGGGAGCGGATCTGCAAGTCCATCAATCTGAATGTGCTCAATGCCCAGGATATTGTGGTGGCCGGAAGATCGAGGCAGCCGATGCCAGAGTCCAATCCGTGCCACCACTCGCAATGCCATGGGATGTGTATCCTGGCCGACTACGGCTACGAGTGCATGTGCGGCAACCAGGTGGTGGCCGAGGGCGAACAGTGCCCTCATGGCTCCATGAACGAGCTGGAGGTGGGGGCCAGCAGGCAGGAGAGGCCGCAGTCCACATTCCACTGGTGGTTAATGGCACTCCTGGTGCTGGTGATGGGCTCGCTGGCCGCAGGACTTGGGTACATGTACTATCAGTGGCGGCAGCGCGGCCACACGGATCTCAACATTAACCTCCATTTCCAGAATCCGCTGGCGACGATTGGCAGCAAAGCGTTCCTCGACCATGAAAGGAACGAAGCCATCGTCAACGGGATGGATGGGATGGCGTCAAGCCACAGCAGCAATGAGACGGGCACCACCAGCGCCTCATCTTCGTTCGCGGCTCAGCAATTTGGCATGCCGAATGTTCTCCAGAGATTGCTACGACCGAAACAGGCGTCCAGCGGCTCCCACATGGCTACCGATATGCTACTCGAAAACTCCAGAGTGAGTGGTTGAGAGCCGGGGTGCTCGCAAGACCTTCCTCACTGATCCTATTCTAATCTTCCCCTCTTTCGTCTATATCTCTCTCTCTCTCTCTCTCTCGCTCTCGTCCGCAGGCAAGCGAACTATACACGCTGGACAACGGACGGAAAGCAGGAGGAGTGCCGGTCATTCTGGTGGCAGACAATGACGATGATACCCTCACAAACGGACATTTCGGGGGAGACTACACAGGCGATGATGCGAATGCACGACTTGTGCCGTAAATAGCCAACTATCCAGCTCCGGAGGACTTCCTACTCTTAGTTCAAACTCGTTCATTAGCTGCCAAGTGCTACACTGTTTTGTATTTATTCAACATAGTTTATTATAATGTTAAGTGTTTCTGTGTGCCTCAATTTGTATGTTAAACGTAATTCTATAATAAGATATATCGAAAATCTGCTCAAATCATGTACATTCCCAGTGAATAAAACCGCACACAATACGAGCATATGTTCTCTACGCCACGCGTCTCTCGCACAATGATCACCTCATCATACAACGATATTAATGATAATGTTAGCGAATGCTTATGTTGCATTTCCTGAAACTTTCCATTGTGGTTTTCTGTGTCGATCGGAGCAACGCTAAGGGGGCTCCCTGGCGAAATATGTGTGTAGTATGTATCAGGCACTGAAAAAATATCAATCTAGTTGGCGGCACAGACAGATACCATTTGACAGATAATATTTCATAGACGAATAAGCCAATATGAGTAATAACTACCAGAAATACTACTACCCGAGCATCGGTCATCCGCTACACGAGGTACTTCCCGTTACATGATCGGGCTCTAAAATAATCAATCTCTTTACAGGTGGCGATCAGCATGCCCTCAGCGAACCCGCCGCCACCATCGGGCCATGTTGAGGCATCGGACCCTTCAGAACTCCACGCCAGTCCGAGGGATGCACAGGATGGTCGAGTAACTTCCACTTGGACTCACCCAAACGTCACGGCAATGACTTGGTTGCAATACCGAAACAGCAAAATGCAACAGTGCACTAAAAATTGATTACTGCCGCCGAATCAAGGAGCCATTTGCTTGTACCACACACAACACAGATGCCCGACTTGCTAAACTGACTTAACACTTATATGCACACGTCTAATGCCCTCTAATAGTGTAACACCAATCGAAACGTCTGTAATACCTTGTAAAAAACCGCATAAGAAACACGGGATCCACCCAAGTGGATCCAATAACGGGCTCAACGGCCTTCCCTATTGGTCTTGGCAAATCAGAAGGAGTGAAGATTGACATGGTGAGATTGTGCGAAAGAGATCTATAAAGCGCTCCTTAGCGTTCCTCCGAGTATAGGGATTATGCGCGTAAGTAGCCACCATTTTAGCATAAAGAAGGGTTTGATGAACGTATGCATGGAAAAACTTGGAAGTATCTGTATATTGGTGGTGATGAATAGTTTCTATGGTCTTCTTTTTTGATTATTTTCATGCGATTTCATTACATACTTATATTGCGTATCCGCTCTATGCTCCCAACCGTGGGAGAACGTTGCCAAGGCCGATGACGCAGTAAAACGCTGGCGGAAGAGCACCCTCTGGTAATGGCTTCACCCTGTGTGAATGCAACTTGCCTCTGGCCCTTTGCACGTTGCGCGAAATTCGTATCTATGTGACTGGTGTTATCGCAGAGGCACGCTACACACCTACACACTCTCGTATGCAGGCACTGACCGGTGAGAGTGAGCGAGAAAGATTGAGGGAGGGAGCGTCTGATAGGTGGAGACGGACAGTGATAGTAGCAGAATGGTCGAGTCATGAGCCCGAGAGCGAAACGAGTTCGAAATCTAAACAGATTCTCTCAGCCGAACATCGGCTCATTCTTCTTCCTGGGAGAGCAATGGATTGGCATGGAGAGCGAGAGTTTCCCTCATTGTTGCGTGCGAGGATCAAAGCCTATTACAAATTCGTTTCGACAAGTTTCGGATATTTGTGATATTCGTGCGTATTTATTATCCCCACAAAAATAATAAAATGAATCGCAAAAATTCAAATGAAGAGCTGGACCCACCACGGGACACTCAATCCTCGAAGCCGAACCATTGCCCGTCCGTTGAGGTGCACAAATCCGACCTTCCACAGAGTCCGTCAGGACCAGGACCGCAACAGGATCCGAGATATGTCCTCAAAGCGAAGGGAACTTTTGTTGCAGCTGAAAGAACAGATATCACACGTTACCCAACTGGAGGAGCAGACCAAATCAGCAGACCTTGAGACTATTTTGCCGACCGTAATGCAGGTGGCATCCCGTCCCGCGCAGACCGTTGGCGTACTCATTCCCAATTGCATCATCTGCTCCGAGAGCTGGGACACGTCTGGGCCCCAGCGCAATACTTCTCTGAAGTGCGGCCACTTCTTTGAAGACTCGTGCATTCGGGAGATTCTTGGGAGAGGACGGTCAAATTGTAGTCGGCGACATATGTATGTATGTACGTCTGATGGTTGTTTATTTAATTTTGTTAGCTGTTTATTGTTTATTGTTTTTTGTTTTGGGGATGTGTTCGACTGTTCGAACAAAACTGAGAAAGTTGACTGGAAAGTCGCTGCTGTTCATATGAACAGCAAATGAAAAATTATTTAAAATAAAACTATAAAAAAACTTCACCTCTTTGATTTATAAAAGGAAATTTTAAACCCCGCGGGCCTGTTAAGGGTTAATCAATATCAACATTTGCCGTCTCATTCACACTCACTGTACTATATGCCTTTCACTCGCACTTATTGCTAGCATACGTTAAGGGACTGACTTTTGCCGACGAGACCACTATGTACAATTGCATCATGGGTCGAGTCACGTGTATGCTGTCGTGCGATACGTTTACAGCTGCTACGCACACACACGAACCCACATACACAGGCCCAAGGTACATTTAACAGAGTGGAACATTTTTGTTTGTATATAAACTTACGTGCACTAAAAAATGCATCCATCCGCTCATAGTAATTGATTTATTTATGTATTTCATTTTTTTCATTAAGAATTATCGTCTAAGTTGATAGAGAATTAACGATATATGCAGGAGAGGAAAGAAATATTTAATTGCAAAAATCTGTGCGCTTGCCCAATAGTTATTAGTCGCTGCTGTTGGGTTTTGGGTGCCTTACCATTCACTGAATATACTTTGGGCGCACACACATGCATGCGCGGGCAGAGAGTAAGAGGGAGACAGAGAGAGCGAGAGCAGCAGCAGCAGCAGCAGTAACAGTGGCAATTCTTACAGCAGCAGCAGCAGTGTCTGTGATAGCAGGCTGTTAACAGCCACAACAGTACAGTGCCTGCAAACAACAACAAAAACAGCAACAACAGCGCTCCTCAGTGGGCCAGCCATAGCCGTTGGCTCGGCCTCTGTTATAAAAATGCTACACTCTCGCATTGAATTTGTCATTCGGCGACAATTTCCAAGCACCCAAAGACGTGAAGGCGTCCCGTGCCTTTAGCCTGCGATAATCATCCCACATCAGTGCCAGACATCCTTTTGCCGGGATAACAGCCTAGCAGTTGCACTTGCGCTTGCAGTTACAGTTTCAGTTGCACTTGCAGTTGCAGAGTTCTACCCAAAGTTCTTCTCCAGCAAAAGTGCGCGAAGTCGAAGTCGAAATCTCAATTCAAATCAAAATCAAAATAATATTTTGCAAAATGCCTTTCGCACAAGAGCAATCAAAGTCGTCGACGGTGGCCAGCGAACAGCTGTCCAAGACGGAGACCATCAAGCTGAGAAACAAACACATCGGGTAAGTCCCACTTGGGAAGTCATATAACACGAGCATATCCTTTGAGACAAGCGGCAGCCTTCAGCCTTCAGCAGAGCAGCAGAGCAGCAGAGCAGTCGTCTCTTATTAGCCTTCACATCCTGCCCCATTGTTCTGCCCTGCAACGCGACCTTCCCTTGAGTTCCGTTTGGCTGTCAAGGTCAAGCGGCGGCATCCCCCAACCGAGCGAGGCACACACTCATCGCGTCTGCTTCGGCTCTGCTCTCCTCTCCTCTGCGCTGCACTGGCTGTTGCTCTCCCTTTCTGTTGCCACGTGAACACAACAACAACAAAAAATGTTGAAAACTTTTGGCCGAAAGTAGACGCCGCACTCATTTATTTTTGGCTCGTTACCTATTGATTATTTTTCAACGCTTGGCAACAACAACCACAGCCCGAACAGCATCGGAAAAGCAGGCATTTTCACATTCCCCTTTCACCCGCACAATATAAAGGGGAACTCTTAAAGATTTCATTAAGAAATGCATGGAAAAGTGCAAGATTATTATATCCACATTAAAGCTAAAACGGTCTTGCTCGTATTCGTATAATTATTGTTTAATCTGTTATAAATCGTGCTGATTCCTTTGTTTGCACTAAGTACCCCCTTAGTATTTGCCGGTCGCTTGCCAGTATTTGTTCGGCTAACAAAAACACGATAATCGCAGTGGGAATGGAAATTATCACACCTGGGGAGTAGGTGTCCCAGGCCCCATCTTATACGTACAGTCCCAGAGATAAGTCATTCTTTATAGAAATCTTTATACTTTGTAAGGGTCCCCGCAACTTTGATGCGGAATTTATAATATGATAAGTTTGTATGGGGGTGGGGACTGGTTAAAGTTGTGCCCTAGTTTTAGTATCTATAAATATTTCTTCCAAGTACTTATTCCCTTTCTTACTCCCTTTTCTATATGCAATATATCCAACCAGGCAAGCCTGCCAGCTCTTCTATCGCTCTGATCCTTTGAAGATTGTCCGCGGACAGGGCCAGTACATGTTCGATGAGGAAGGCACACGCTATCTGGACTGCATTAACAATGTGGCACATGGTAAGTAATGCAAAATCCAAACAACGAAAACCGAAAACCGAAAGATTCATATAAAATTGAGCTGGGAACCGGGGCCTGATGTTCCCCCTGATCACAATCCATCCAGAATTGCTAATTATACGAGTATAGTACTTCTGTTTATGCCCCCGATTAGTGGCGCATGCCATTCGCTTTTTCTGGATGCAAAGTGCACACCAGAGAGGCAGAGTCAGCGATAGGCAGAGAGTATTTGGCAATCAAGTTCAAGGTTACGACGGTGCTACAACCATCGACCATAGAGTAAAAAAGGCCCAGACATCAGAGGCATGTTCAGGCCCCGGCCCCGATTGAGTTCCGTTCCCCCATAGCGCGGACGCTACGTACTGAGTCAGCCTTATCAAAGTCAATTGCCAAGTGCTGTGTATGATTTTAGATGCTGCCTGCCGTAGGTCTGGGCCTGGGCCTGGTCTGACACCCCCTGTCGTGATATTTCGGGCCCCGACACAGGCCTGATCTGGATCTGAACCCCCCGTCCGGACCGGTCATGATGATTTCGGGCCCCGGCACAGGGCTTAACGCACATTACGGGAGGCAATAACTGATGATTAAGAAAAGCAATACCATCTCAAAAGCGAGCAAAATGAAATTGAATACTCGTACGTATTGCATATGCACATTTGCGAATATCAGTACGAGTATCACACCCGGACAAATCCAATGCAGTCCGGTGCGGTCGGTCTCCGGTCTAACAAAAATACTCGTACAGAACAACAACGAAGATTGACGTCTGCTCTGCGGACAATTTGCCAATTTGACGCAATGACGACGCTGTAAAGCCGTAAAAGCTGACAACTGTTTGTGTCCGGAATTTTCCATTAATTCGTACAATTTCCATGCACCCCAGAAACCAGAGAACAGACGCAAGAGCCAGATTTTAGCCAGCATCAGGTGTTAAACATCGGCTAGTTCTAAATACTAGTAAAGGGAAAGGGAGAAGGTTGAGACTTTCCTTCACAGAAATCATATGTACATGACTTATGTTGTTTTCTTGTTTTTTTGCACTCGATTTATGCTGTCATCGCTGATAAGACCCTGAGGGGCAATGGGAACCGGAGGGGGAACGCGAACAAGCGGGAACCCAGCGGACGTTGGCATTGCGAACAGTACAATGGAAATCAACCTGGGGGTGGGGAGGGGGGCTCGGGGAAAGTGATAAGACCATCCATCCATCCATTCCCTATGTACTATTTATAGAGTCCCCCCTTAACCCGTTTGGACACTGCACTAAATCGGCGCCAACATCATATGCTGATAATGCCCCTTGGAGGAGGCAAATGGTTTTTTCGCCACTTTCAGCTGATCTTCTGATAGGCCCTTTGATTATAAATAGCTTTGAGATTTGAATGCAGTCAGAGTTTAAAAGGTTCTGTAACTGCACTGATATGCAGCTTATAGTTTGTTCGATAACGATCTCCCACTTTGTAGATTATTATACACCAAATCCAGTAATCCAGTAGTACATGAATTGTAGATCGCGTGCGATCACTCAAAGATCTCAAAGAACCCATTTCGTTTTGACCCTTTTCCCACATCGCGTGAACAGCCGCCTCGCACCGATCGTGCGATCGATCGTGCGTAGAAGACCATTATGTAACCTGTAACATCGACTCAAACTCATGGCCTAGCCGGCCCATCAACACATCAATAACAACCAATCGACCAACAAGCGTAAAACGTATATGGAATCAGTTTTCATCGACTCCAATGAGACTCATAAACAAAGAGAAACTAGAACTACTCTATACTCGTAAAACGTGATAAGGCCTCGAAGTGCACGTGTTGGCCGATCACCCAACACCCATCCCCATCCGACCATCCAACGGAGTGAGAACAACAACTCGAGGCGAAGCTTGTTATTGCTATTATGAAACTTGAAGAAGACGACTGGAAGACGCACGCACGCACGCTTGGCGATCGCCACGTTCTTTGTAATCTCGTGCTACTTTTCCGCTTCGAACAGAAAGGAGACTCTGCCTCAGCTACTGGGTCTGGTACTGGGACTGGGACTACTGGACAGGCAAAGACCCGGGGCCGGGGCGCCTTATCATCGAGGGACGTCGAGCAACATGTGAACGTCTCGTGCCAAATGGAAATGTACTTGAGATAGCTTAAACAAACAACCAGCGGATGGATGGGGGTAGCCAATGCATGCATGTCCCGTAGTGCGTACAGTCCACATCCCATCGGTCCGACCGTCTGTGCCCCTAGTCTAGATTCAATATTTGTTGTAGTGCTCGTATGTAATGCCCCTCTAGACCATCCATGCAATCAGCTGATGGCGTTTCCATTGCGAGTGGAAAATTCTGAATAGATAATCAGAAAAACACACACTCTCCCTCTCCCTCTCCCTCTTCCTCTCTCTCTCTTTCTCTCTGTGGTGGGTTCGAGAAAAGTCGAACAAACACCCGGCCTATAGATATTCGTAAACATTCCCTATATGCATATGCATGTCAAACAGATCAGATTGTATTGCTGTGTGTTGATGATGTTGTTGCGAAAAGCAAAGAACAGAATCCGCCACATTTCGATACATTTGTACACCGTTCCACACGGAAAATGATGTTCAGAAAAACCTTGTTTTGGTTAATGGGTGACAATCGAAATTAAGAGGGACTTTTAGATACATTTTCATCGCTGGGGTACCGCTCTTTTCATCCAAGAGAAATATCTGAAGGAGAGGGAAGTCCAATTCTGCAAGAACTCAATTTCGGAATGGAAAACCATTCTTCTTGGGCCGTTCTTAGAATTCGGAAATGTAAGAAAAATCCAATATCTAGAGATCTCAATCAGCAAGAGTTCAAGAGTCCAAAAACCTTTTGGTCTAGGCAAATCCCAAAAATAAACACCTTAGCTACCATTTAGAGTGGAGTGGTGTGTCGTATCAGAGTTGATTAGCGAAACCCCGCTAATAGATCGCTTCGCTTTGTCGATTCGCAGCGAAAAACTTTACCCAGGTGGATGGTGTTGTCGCCAAACAACAAGCAACAGAGTGTGCGAGTATGTACATACCTAAAAATAAAGTGAATAATACTACACGTGAACGTAGGGGGACTGTCCGTCTCACGTCTATTGCCCACCTTGGGGGCGTTATCGCATCGTTTGCGCATCGGGCCCGTCCCGTTGTCGACGCTGGCGATTGTGTGACACCGAAAATACATTTTGAGAAACTCTACTAATGTGAGGCGGTCCCCTCCGTCGCACAGCGGACAGGCCCGGGTCCAAGTAGAGCGCGTCAGGCCCCGGCAGCCGATCCGACAGCTACGGATCGACGATAAGCCACTGGGGACTGGGGACTGACTGCCACTGGGTCGGCTGTCGGCTGTCTGTTTTCGGTTGTCGGTCCACTGCCCGGCTGTTGACTGATTACGTAGTTTTGGGGGTCAACATATGTACATACATACATATATGCCTCATCATCAGCCACAACTACGTGGCTCTCGCGCCCTCACATTCTGCCTCTGTGATTGTATGGTTCCAATTCTAATTCCGATTCGCCAGCAGCGATAAGACTCCTCGTTGCGGTGGTCGTACCCACTAGCCCATGGGTATCACGTGAAGCGCACGCGATTCCTACACGTTTTTCTGTGCTTCTGCCACCCTCTGCCTCCCTCCTGCTCCCACCTACTCGTAGTCGTAGTCGCAGCCGTAGTCTAGTTGATAGTACTACGAGTATGCTGTCCGACTCGAGTTCTGTTCTGCCTTTGGTTGCGCTGATTACGCACTTCAGTTCACTTTGACCATGGGCCATGGGGAGTCTTGGAAGGAATAGAATTCGCTCGAGAATTTATTACTAGGAGAAGTACAGTTGATGTCTATGGCCTAAATGGTACTGAAAATGGTTATATGGGGAATGAGAAATGGGTTTTCGAACTTGACTCAAGGGAGAAGTCTTTTTTTTATGTCCTACATCCACAGAAATTCGCTTAAATTTAAAAATGTACACCAATAAGTACATTGGCTCCAAAAGTGGAAATTAAAAAGAAAGAAATTAAATTTTGACAATGATTTTTCCATCTGTTCATTATACATATAACGAGAGGTACGTTGCCACAATTTATATTTGCCACGTTTATACCCAATACTCACTCAGTAGCGCTCCGCCAAAGGGCGCACACTGCACGAGGAAGAGGGTGTGTGAGAAAGAGTGAAAATGAGTAAGGGCGTGGAAGGGGTCCGATCTGATCGAGATTCAGCAATCTGCTAGATAGGGGCAGAGGGCTTGCCCCTCTTGCACAAAGTGCAAATATTTGTAGTCCTGCTTTTACCACTCTCGACTAATCATTGCATTTCATTTGCTTTCTGTTTTCTTGCAGTGGGCCACTGCCATCCGGAGGTAGTGCGTGCCGGTGCCCTACAGATGGCCACCATCTCGACAAACAATCGCTTCCTGCACGATGAGCTGGTGCAGTGCGCCCAGACGCTCACCAGCAAGATGCCAGAGCCACTGTCCGTGTGCTTTTTCGTCAACTCGGGATCGGAGGCCAATGACTTGGCCCTCCGACTGGCCCGAAACTTTACCAAACGCCAGGATGTGATCACGCTTGACCAGTAAGTCGATCAAAGGTCTCACTGCCACCTCCGCGAGATGATGCTTACATGCCTGTGGCTTATCTTTCTCTTCTAGTGCCTACCATGGACATCTGCAGGCGGTGATGGAGGTGTCGCCGTACAAGTTCAATCAGCCGGGGGGCGAGAAGAAGCCCGACTACGTGCACGTGGCCCCCTGCCCGGACACCTATGGCGGCCAGTTCACGGACAAGATGTACCCCAACGCGGATCTGGGGGCTCTCTATGCCCAGCCCATCGAGGAGATCTGCCAGCGCCAGTTGGCCAAGGGTCAGGGCGTGGCCGCCTTTATAGCCGAGAGCCTGCAGAGCTGCGGCGGACAGATTCTGCCACCGCCCGGCTACTTCCGGGCCGTTTACGATGCCGTACGCTCCTCCGGCGGCCTCTGCATCGCCGACGAGGTCCAGGTTGGCTTCGGCCGCGTGGGCACCCACTACTGGGCCTTCGAGACGCAGGGCGTTGTCCCGGACATTGTGTGCGTGGCCAAGCCCATGGGCAACGGCCATCCCGTGGGCGCTGTGGTCACCACCCCGGAGATTGCGCAGGCCTTCCACGCCACCGGAGTGGCCTACTTCAATACGTACGGCGGCAATCCGGTGTCCTGTGCCATTGCCAATGCCGTGATGCGGGTCATCGACCAGGAGGGACTCCAGCAGAATGCCCTCCAGTTGGGCGACTACCTGCTGCGGGAGTGCAGCCACCTCAAGCAGGAGTTCGAGTGCATCGGCGATGTGCGCGGCGTTGGACTGTTTGTGGGCATCGAGCTGGTAAAGGATCGGGAGGGACGCATACCCGACACCAAGTCCGCCCGCTGGGTGGTCAATCGGATGAAGCAGCTCCACCAGGTGCTGGTCAGCTCGGACGGGCCCAACGACAACGTGATCAAGCTAAAGCCGCCCATGTGCTTCAGCCGCGAGAACGCCGACGAGTTCCTGCTAGCCTTCCGCGAGTGCCTAGCCACCCTCACCCAGAACAAGATGGCCACGGAGGCGGCGACAGCCGCTGCCACCACCACCCATGGGGTCATCGCCACCGCCGCAGAGACGCTGGCGAATAAGACGAAGCTCTTCGAGCGGCAGGATCGCCTCATAAAGTCGGTCTGAGGCAGCGGCGACGCCTCCCTGCCGACTCTGCTCAAAGGCACAAACTAGCTTTAGTCCTCCCACACCCGAGGATATTTATATTATTCCATGATCCCGAATTCCCTTGCCCCCATGCCCCACAGTCCCTTGTCCGAATATGGATATGTATGTATATTATAATTTTTTTTTTTTGATTATTGATTAGTTTTAGTGCCATGCTTTAGCTTTTAGAACAAATCTAGGCATTACCCATGAGCCATACGTATAACCACCCGATATCTACGCGCATGCCTACTATATAACCATTATCTTTTGAGTCGATTATCAATTATCTTCTAGTATCTAGAAAAATATTTAGGGAGCTCAGTACGAATTTCGTTCTTTTACTTTGTGCTTTTTTTTGTTTTTTTAGCCTTAAGTTGAGAATGTGTGAGAAATGTTATTGAATATTATATTTTTTTTAACCACAAACTTTAGAATTGGGTCTTAATGAAGGAATGCCAGAGGTGGTGGCAGGGGACTAAGAAAATTAATTTGCAAAGTATCCAATTACCAGAGCGCCTACCTTTGTGTACCTGAGAGACGCTACATTGTCGACGAAGAGAGCGTCGTCCTAATCCTGTTGCTGCAAAGACGTCAAGATCCATATATGTATTCGGCTTATGGATGAAGCTCTTATGCCTGCCTTTGATTCTAGAGATTACATTAGAAGCGCCTTAATAATTAATAAGTTTCATTTTTTATCCGCCGGGCAGTCCTTTTGGCCGTCACAGCGCCTGGAGACGGGTATACAGTCCTTGTTCATGTCACTATTACCCCACACCCTCCCGGCTGGCTATGTCAATGGCTATGCTATGGCAATGCGCTCACCTTTGTGCCATTTTCCAGCGAACGCTTGATGCTGTGAGTTCTGCGTTCGATCTGGATCACACCCCGTTGATGATCTTGCATGCGGTTCTGGCCCATCATCTTGATCAATGTCCCCGTGTTTCCAGTCGCTGCAGTTCACGTACTCGTGACCGCCAACCAGTATCTAACGCTTCTTGCCATCACCATGGAGGTGTCTCGACCCAGGGAACGCGGCTGCTCTACATTCTTCCACAGGATACGCGCCTTCGGCGCGGCACATAATAATCAGGGCATTGTCATTGCACAGATTAGCTGTCGTTAAAAAAAACAAATTAACAACAAATTACACGTATGTATGTATGTATTCATGTAATTAATACATAGAGTTGCCACTCTGCTGAAAAAATGTGAGACGCAGTCTGCTAAAATTAGTACTTTTTACAAAACTGTACATGTGCATTCTATATTTTGGTTTGAGTTTATTTACTTTTGGAACTGGAGCGACTTCGTGTTTGCCATGAACATCAGCGAAGACTTCAAGCCCGTGCCAACACGGGCTGCACTTGCGGCTCAGAAAAAGCAGGCCACCTGCGAATTCAAGGCATTGGTTTTCCACGAACCGCAGTCCCAGTCGAAGGCAACTTCGAATCCCGACAAACAGCAAGAAAAATCTGAAAGGAGGCCCCACAAGTCGGCAGGCACGGACAAAGACAGCAGCACAAACCCCGAGTTCGACATCAAAAAGGCTCGACATGAAGTGCTCAACTTTGCCATGAGCAATCAGCGTGTGACCAAGAATAAGCGTAAAATGGAGATTTTCCAACTGATCAAGCTCGGTGCAAAGCCGCCAAAGAAAGCGGCAAGGAACTACAAGGAGTTGAAAGACGAACGCCAGCGTCTGAAGAACATACGGGAGGAGCGAAAGAAGTTTCATCAACTGGGGAAAAATCAAGCTGGTGCGGCTAGTGTCAAATGCCGCAGCAAAAACCATGAGGAACGCAAGCAGAAGAAACGTGCGCCCGTTTCGAACATCGACCAGCACTATGGCAAGGCGCAGCCTAAATTCAAGAAAAGAAAATAACCATAGAATGTCCAGAATAAACCTAAATTAGTCAAATACTTCCAGTTTTATGTGTTTGTTTTGAAATTGCTTTGCGCCATTCAGTGTGACCAGACCAGCATGGTTGGCAGTGTTGCTATGTGGTCGCATATTTCTTGCCTTGCAGAGCACTGGTGCATTCCTTATTGTTGTTGATACGATTACGTGAATATTTGTGGAAAGTTTCGTCTATTCGGGCCAAAAATGTTTTCACGCTCACGAACTCTCGGGCCGGCGATGTGCCGATGCTACACCCAAATCAAGGGCGGCTCCAATCCAGCAGGCCGCAGCAGTGGAGCAGGCGCTCCTCCGTCTAGTTCCAAAGTAACGGGCCTGAGCAGCAACTGCGTGAAACCCACATCAGCTCCTGTGGGACCAGGCGCTTCAGCATCCAGCGGCTACAAAGTTCCCGAATACTTCTCCTTTAACCGATTCAGCTTCGCTGAAGCCGAGGTGGAAATGTCCAAGTATCGCTGCCCACAGCCATCTGCGCTGAAGAAGTAGTGGCGTGGAGTGGAGATTCCAAGGAGATTGCGAAACCAAATGTAGTAAATGTATAATAAACGGAACGTTTCCTAAGCCAGCCTCAATATCAGATATCAGGCTAAGCCTGTTCAATCTAAGTTAAATATGTATATTCGGTTTAGCATAGTTTGTCGGGGAGGGGAGTGGCGGGAAGAGGGGTAATAGATAGTGTGACCCATTTACAGCAATTCCGCACTCCGTTTTTTCTTGCCATCACGTCTAGCTCACACACCTTTGCAAATTTTATACTTATCATAGTATTTTCCAGTATATTTTAAGACGCGTTATTGACTCACCCTCTTGTCCAATGCATTGGCGTCACAGCACTGCGGCTGTTGAACATTTTTGTTGAAACCGTTTTTTTTGTCAAAACAAAAAACATGCAAGCACTTAAAAGTAATTAATACTGATCAAAATTGATTCATCAATCATATAAAATTATCTGGGCAAAACTGAGAGATCTATATGGCTGGGAATATGCGACGGAAGATATTAAACGAGTATTTATTGGTGAATAACCGGTTGACAATATTGATTACCGACAACATTAATTTTCATACCCTAGGGCAAGGGATATTATAGAATTGAGAAAATGTTTGTCATCCCAGTCTGCGTAGGTATCAGGATCGAGATAAATATATACAAGATAAATAATGTATTTAAATATGTCTATAGAATATCAATTTGAGCAAAGGTCTTTATAAATTACATTTCATATGAAATTAACGAAATAGGGTATACAAAGGCCTATGCGCGCATCATGCATTAGAATAATAGCAACATTGTGACTGTTTTCTTGTTAAACTATTTTGTTTAAACCTTGTTTTAGTTAAAAAACAATAAAACCACGGAACAAAAACTAGCCAGTTAAGTAGAAAATTGATTAATCAATGGCCTAAAATTACGTGGGCAAAACTTAAGGTTTTAGTTAGCCAGAATTATTAAACGGAATCTCTAAATTGAGCAATATGAACGACTATCCTCTTTCGTCTATTTTGTTTTGACCTATTTCGCTAAAACCTTTTTTTACGCAAAATCCAAAAAAAGCAAGTATTTAGAATTACCCAGTTATGTAGAAAATTGATTCATTAATCGGTTAAAATTATGTGGGCATGGCTAAATCTTTTATATAGCTGGGAATATTCGACGGAATATCAAAATTGAGGAATATGTATAACAGAATTTGATTCGTCAGTATATTTATAAAGTATATTTTTAAAGTAAGACGGTATGTTTCGGTATATTGCTGAGGGTCGGACCGTATAATTTATCGAAAAGTCCGCGGTCACGCTGGCGGAAATTAATAAGTAGAGTAAATCGGTCAAATAAGCAATAGCAAGTGTTAAAAGCATCCTTAATGCATACTGGGAAATATTCGTGCGTTAAATTCCGTGCAGTAAAAATACTGGAATCGCATTTCGCTTTAAAATAAATGAAAACGAATTAGCTGCTCTCGCCCATCAAGCAGTCAGCAGCGGCGGCAGCAACAACAACAACGGGGTGCGTGTGTGTGAGTGGTACAGTTGGGTAGAAAAACATCGCCATTGTAGTCGCTCTCTTTCGGAGCTGCCACTACTGTTGCCACCACTGCGATTATACCAGCCACTTCTGCTCTCTGTTGCGTTCAGTTGCAGCGCAGTTACCAACCAACTAAAATCGGGACGAGGCAATAATAAAAACAAGACAAAAAAAAAACGTACTCAAAACACATCGTGTTCGCCATTTGCCACACGCAAGCAGAAAAAATAAAAATAAAATTAAAAAGCGGACATACATCGGTGCCAAACAGGGACGTATTTATCCCACGCAATCGAAAATTCTGCCCAAAAGTTCGCTCTCTGTGTAGTGAAAGTGCGAGCGAAAGAGACGAGAGGAAAAAATAAGCATTGAGCGTAAAACAAAACTTGAAAAAATGTAAAGCCATTATTGTAAGTACACAAAACAACAAAAACGCGGCTCCATTAGTGAGGTGCCCCACGGGCATTTGGGCATTTATATTATATTTGTGCATGTGTATATGTGTGTGCAACTCTGGCGCGCGAAAAAAAATCGTCGTAAATTCCCTAATGCGAGAGGAGAGCAGAGCACAAAAAAGTGACGAAAATAGGCGCCAGAGTTGCCAGAGCTGAAATACCCGTAGAAACACAAGCCGTTGCGTTACCTATTGCCTACACATACATATACATATACATATACCTATACTGTACTAAAAACAATATTATTATTCGGCATATCTTCCCATTTCCGAACCGATCTCTATCCTATCCTATCGCATCTGTTGCAGGCACCCATGAAAAATGCCAGCGGGAAAAAAGACGGATGCTAAGACAGTAAAGACTCGTACGTGCATTGTATTCGTGAAGAATCTGAGGGAAGGTCTTCCACCAGCGGTTGCCGCCACTGGAAAAGCAGCAGCAGGAGTAGCCGCTAAATCGAATTCAGCTCGGACAATCAACCATAGAAACGTCGCCATTGCCGCCCTACCAAACGCCGCCAGCCCACGACGCGCGACGCGTACCTCTCGACGGTCTGCGACCATTTCGACGGAAATCGTTGTTGGTGGCAAAGCGCGTCAGCGGGCAGCCGTAGAAAACGACAAGCTGTCACCTCCAGCAGCTGTGGGTGCCGCCAGGCGGTTGCGCCAATCCAAGGGGGATCAGGTGACCACCCCATCCCATCCCGCACGGAGGCAACCACCATCACTGGCATTGGCATCGCCAACGCCGCCAAAATCCACAACGATACAGCCCGCCAAAAGGCTGATGGGTCCGGGCCTGGCCGCCAAGCGACGCAATTCGGCATTACCATCCCCAGCCGCAGGCACAGCGGCCAAGCATCTCAGCACGCTGGCCACCTCGACCATACGGCGGAACGCTCTAACCGCCCGTCGGGCCACACAGACACAGGACCACATAATCAGTCCCAAAACACCGAAAATGTACAAACAGCAATCGAAGGTTTCCCCCCATGTGGTGTCGGTCTCCCCGCCGCCGACGATTGCCGCCAGTCGTTCACGTCGCTCCATCAAACCGAATCCCAAGTATGCCAGCGAGGACCTGGTCACACCAAAGTACCTGGCCTCAATGGCCAGCAGCGACACACCCTCGTCGCGTCAACAGCGTGGCGGCGGCGGCAACTCCAATTCGAAGCTCTTTTCCGCCACCAAATACAACGATATGCATGATCTGCTCGATCTGGACGAGGACAACGATGATGAACTGAACGATGTGGCCTACAATCCGCAGATGCATAAATCCGATGACGATGACGATGATCTGAGCGAGGATGAGTACCAGGAGGAGATGCGTAACGAGAAGTTACCGGCGCCAGTGCCGCCAGTGAAGCGTGGACGTGGACGTCCACCCAAATCGGCGAACGCAGCAGCGGCTGCCGCCACCAGCACGCCCCAGCCCAAGCTCGCCTCTAGTGTGGCCCGCCAGTCGACGAATCTGCAACAGCTGCGCCGCACCATGGCCGTGACCATGGGGAACCGCAGCAACAACAATCTGCAGATATCTGCATCGGAGGGGGCATCAAAGCGTAAGCTGGAAGATGCCACCGACAGTCCCGTGGCACGCAAGCGCATGGTTTTGGCAGCAGCAGGGGGACCCAATCGCAGTCTACCAGTGATCAACGGCAGCTCCTCGGCCGGCAAGCCCTCGCCTGCTGCTTCTGCGGGCAGACCCAAGACCCTAATTGGCAGCAGCGCCAGCAACAGTGGCCTGCGCACGGGACCCACAACGGCAACGGCGTCGGGACTGATCAACAAGCAGCGCCCAGCAGCCACGACGGCCATCAAGATGAACAGCTCCACACCAGGAGGAGGCGCAGCAGGAGCGGCCAGGAGCACCAGCACCAAGGCGGTGGCTGCCACTGCTCCGGCGGAGAGCAGCAAGATCGTCGACGATGTGCCCACATTCACGATCGTGAATATCAATGACATTATCAACCAGGATGATGTGCTCATCAGTCGCACAAATAATCCCACGGCCAGCACTTTGAATGCCGCCAGCAAAAAATTGTCGGTGGGTCGCCCCAGGACACGGAACATACTCGTCGGCGATAGGCCCACCAAGGGATCGGGATCAGCGGAAATGCCTACCTCCTCATCGACTCCCACAAGTAATAGCTCAGCGCAGGGCGGCTTTAGTTCATCCAAGCGGGTCAAGGCTTCGGCCACGTTCATCAAAAAGCAGCAGCAGCAATCACAAACGCAGCAGACCGTCAGCCAGAGTCAGAGCCAGAACCAGAACCAGGCCAAGCCCCGTCCCCGTATACTCAATGCAGAGATGGGCAAGAAGGCAAAGCCCATTAAGCCGGTTCTGAGCTTGAGCCAAGAGCTGTATCCCACTGACGTGGATACCGAAGAAGATGATGCCGATATTGATCTAGATCTCGATGAGAGCGAGAGCGATCTAGCACCATCGCCGCCTGCACCAGTACGCCGTGCGGCCCCAGCTGCTGGTGCGACCAATCGCAGTCAGGCGGCTGCCACAGCCAAAGCCCCAGCCCCAGCCCCATCCCCGGCGAAATATACGGCACGTCGTCCCATACTCTCGTCGAATGCCACCACAAATAGTAGTCGGAACTATGGCGCAGGAGATCGCAAGTTGTCCAAACTCCTGGGCGAGGTCAATGAGGAGAGCTTCAAGAAGCCACCCATCAATGCGAGTAATGCAGCGCAACAGCAGCAGCGTTACAGCAAAGAGAACAAGAGCAACAGTTCGACTACCACTATCGTTGTCAAAGATCAGGATACCGATGACGATGAGGCCGATAACCTCGACGACGACGAAGACGAGGAGGAGAACGAGAACAAGGGGAAGAAGAATCCGAAATACTTCCCGCCAGAGACAACCACAGTGCGGGAGGAGGATGGCCGCGTTATCAAGAAGATCACCTGCTACGAGACCTGGCACGTGATCAGCAAACCCCGTGAGCTGCCCGAAAAGACGCGCCAGCAGCGCACGCTTTTAGAGCTGCCGCTGGTCAAGCTGGCGAATGTGGCGGCCCGCATCAAGATGCCGTCGGTGAAGTGGAGCAGCAAGGTGACGCTCTACAAGGTATCGCCGACGCTAATGCAGCGTCAGACAATGACCATATTCACGGGCGATCTGAAGGTGTACAATATACCCGAAGAGGATCGCCACAAGTACCAGCCATCGTGTGTGCTCTTCCGCCGTGTGGTGGTCGATCGTAGCAAGTGCCGGGTGCCATACGATCGGGCCATTATATTCAAGAATCGATGCTTCTACGCGAACATCGATGGGAAGCATGTCAATCTGATGGGTGCCCCAGAGACGGTCGGCTGCATGAAGGATGTCGAAATACTGCTGGACATTGTGGACACGCTGAATCTGAACAGCCAATTGGTGGAGATGGTCAACTCAAAGTAGGCCCGCACAGAAGCGAACCGAGACGCGAATCAAATGTACTATAAAGCAAGCAGAAGCAGAGGAAGAATCGAGAGTTAACGAGGGAAGTAACGTCCCAGAGAAGGAACGAAGACGGAATATCCCCCACACGGTATAAATGAATGTAGAATTAAAAGATGTTTTTTTTTATGTCGAGATCGGATTACACACTAGTTTTTAATAGTTGCTTTAGCATAATATTAGCTGGTTGGTATTTTTGCCACTCAGATACACACACACACACACACACACATTAATATATATATATATATAATTTAAAAAAAAAAGCATATTTCTAGATATAAAAGAAGAAGAAATAGAAGGCGATACAAAAACACAGAAGAAGGCGCAAACAGTAAAACAGTAGATGGTTCCGGGTGTACTTGCAACAAGTGTAGGAAGGAAGGAAAAAAGAAAGAGGAAAGGAGAAAAAAATAATAGCGCCGATAACGATACCGATTAGAACTTTAGCAATCCCTGGTTCCGGACAATGCATGATTACATACAGAAATATGTATCATTTTAATATTAAATAATAATAATTTTCTATACATAAGATAGATACCACCCCCCTCCGCCACCCTCCACACACACACACAAACATATTTTCTCTAAGAGTTGTTTTAATCCATTCTCCCCCCTCCATTCGGCGGCCCTATTATCCCCAGAGTGTGGACCTTCGATTAATAATATTTGTAATATGTATTTTCGGCGATAATTTAAAGAAAAAAACGGAATTCAATTATTCTTTTTTTTTTGTATAATTTTGATAAGAAGAAATTATGCTAAAAATCATTCTTTTGTATGGAATCTAGTTTTATAATTCGTATGTAACCCCCATATATTATTGTGCGTCTGCATTTTGCAGTGGAAGGAAAATGATTGTAATTTAATCAATTGTACATTTAATTGAAGAGCGAACCCCCATCATAATAAATAAAAAGAAATCACATCACAATGTTCTCATTCAATCGACTGGGAGGCAGGGTCCCTTTCTTACAGGATTTTAGCCCTCTTGGAGGTTCTCTGAAATAATTAAAGACTACCCCAAAAAGCGATCATCATATGGGTATTTCCAAGGAAAGCTACCAAAGAGACCCAAAAATAATTAGAATTTTTGTATGTCCTTAAAACGTAATTTACCCATGAAAACGTTAAAATCAGCTACATCTCCCATCTCCCAGCTATTATCTCCCATAAGAAGATCTACGATCAAAGTACTCTTGCATATTCAACAATCTAAAAAAAAAATATACCAAACAGTCCCAACTTTTAACTATTGACCCAGGAAATATTTGTTCCGTGCGAAAGTGTTCAAAATCAAATTAAATAATAAAGAATTTCTAATTTTTGGGTAAAATGTACTTTAAAGTAGCCTGGAACAAAATATCTATATATAGTACTGCCAGTGGATTCTATCCAGGAAATAAAAGGGCTTTGCTTCGAGCTTAACATATTCAAGAATCAAAGACTTGTGATATATTTTATTTTAATAATTCCAAACAGCAGATTTGAAAGTGATCTGCATCAAAAATATATACGTATATATATATAATACATTAGATCGTTCCAAATCATATAAATACGTGCTAAGAAATATTGCCTAAATTCAATCGGCATGATTAATGATATATATTGGCATGTTTAATATGTATATATGCAAATAAATATACATTTATATTTTGATGGATTTTTTTGTGCGATAAATAAAAGGAGTTTTTTGAGTGTTGAAAAAAAATTCAACAGTATTTTTTGGATGTTTGCGACCCAAATTCTATAAAAATTAGTTTTACCCCATAGATTAATAAGATTTCTATAAAGTTATGTTATTTAAAAACAAATGAATTATCTTTAATATTCTTTAAGCAAGAAACAATTAAATTTACAAGAATGTATTTTTTTCATTATTTTCCTTACAAATCCGATTCATGAATACATTTTTAATAAGATTGGATAATTTTTAAAATAGCATTTGTATTGGAGTATGTATTTTAATTTTGAAATAAAAATAAAAAAAAATAAATTTTTAAGAAATCGTTTCATAAATTGGTTTTTGTTTAATTAAATAAAGCAATACATACACAGCCTAATAGGCCGGGGATATTGCAAAACTTGTTGAATTTTTAATTTAAGCTCAAAATAAAATATTGGCGCCGGCCAACTTCAGAAGGGAGGGACTTCCAGAAAAAATTGGACGATTTGCTGCTGGATCCCTCAAAGAAACACTCAATATCAAGCAGACCAAAACACGGCAAATGCAGACAGGCGGATGAATTGCATTCATACCCTTGTCACTCATTTACTTTCAAACAATTCCACTTTGGCGCGCAGCTCTAGCGATTATCTAGTCGATAATATCAAAAGCCCAACTGCTTTCTTCGAATCAGTTATGGCTCTCTTTGTCGCCTTCTCTGAATCTGGTATTGAATTGGAGGCAACAGAGTCTCGTCTCAGTCCATATTGAGTCAATTCCAATCCGTACGACATAATCCATTTGATGACGAGGACATTACAACCATTGGGAGGCAGCACCTTGACAGAACTATGATGATGATTTCAAAAACATTGACCCCAGGTGAACCCAGCATGTTGTTGTTGTTCGACGAAAATTCACTTTGTTTTTTTTATAATTAATCGATATTTTTTTAGGACATCGTTTTGACGAAAAATTTTTGACGACGATTTTCATTGGTCAAAAATTTGTTTTAAAACATGTTGCTAGGAAACTCTTAGGCATGCTGCAGCAACTTTCTGTTGCAACAACAGCTTTACGTAGTGCAAAAACACTCCACACGTTACATTCCATACCCACTTATGTCTGTGCTTAAGACTTATCTTAGTCACAATCAAATAAGAGGGAATCAATCTTGTAGAAAATTGATTCATTCATCGTGACTGAATTTCCTACCTAGCTGGTAATATTAAACCAAATATTATCATGAACAGCGAACGATTACCCCATTGTCGACCAGTGGGTATTGAAATAAACTCCACGATAATTATGAGTCTTAAAGAATATTAGCGCAGTTCAGATAAGAGATATTGTGATATTTTTTAAATAAAGATTAAGGATGGGATGGATCTGCAAGAATCCGCGGTTTAACTCAAGTTGTTATTTTGTTTCAATAAAGGGGGTTTAAGAGGGCTAAGTTCGTTTTTTCATCGGTATATTTTGAAAATAAGACGGTATATTTCAGAAGATGCCGGAGAGTGATCGATAAGTGCGACGAAAAAATGAGTCGTAATTTTGAATGGACTATAAAAAAGGGTATGGACAACAGGCAAAAACAGGAAAGGCAAATTCTTAGGTTCGTACCCTTCTCGAGGGTGTAGACAATATATCTTGAAGAAAAAAAGCCGAAGGTATATTCGGCAAAAGTGGTGGATTTTACCTTGCAAGCGTTGCACTTTCTGGCCTGTTTTGTCTCTTGGCCATACCCTCTTTTTCCTCCTATCATGTAGCAAATGTGTAGATACCGCGTAGTTGCCATGTCATAAATTGAGTAAGCACCGATGCTTTTTTTTTACATCAACTACGACAAAAAGTGAATTTCGAGCTGTTTTTTTGTTATTATTCGGTTAATCTTTAGTTGCAAACGCCCCCGAATTGTGAGCCATCGATGAGTTGCGAAAAAAGCTGAATTCTAATACGCTAACTTGCCAATTGCTGGGGCCGAAGCTGTTGTGCTTTATTCAAATGGAGGAGGAGCTGCAGTTCCATTGACACCCAACCCAAAAAGCAAGCAGCGGCAGAAGCAGAGGCAGAGGGCAGCAACAGCAGCGGCAGCGGCAGCGGCAGCAGCAGCAGCAGCGAGTGGAGTGTGGAGTTGTGGAGTTTTGATGAGTTTTAAGGGGAGTGGGGAGTGGAAGTGAAGGAAGCACAGAGCCGACGCACACATGAAAAAGTATTCAAATTTGTGCAAATGGAAAAAGTGTTTGAGGCATAAATAATAAGCAGAGAATCATCGCTGAAAAACGGCAAAATAAATCGCACGAATTTATTAAGAGACGCGACCGAGACCCGACCGAGATCCGAGATAGAGCCAGTAGGCAGAACAACAACAGGCAGGCGCGATGGATACAGATAGACCAAATGGACAAGAGACGAAAGTCATTTATCATATTGACGATGAGACCACCCCCTATTTGGTGAAAATACCCATACCCTCGTCGCAGGTAACCCTCAAGGACTTCAAGCTGGTGCTCAATAAACAGAACAACAACTACAAGTATTTCTTCAAGTCGATGGACGCCGACTTTGGTGTCGTTAAGGAGGAGATCGCCGACGATGCCACCATCTTGCCTTGCTTCAACGGCCGTGTCGTCTCCTGGCTGGTCTCGGCCGACGGCACCAATCAGTCGGACAACTGCTCGGAGCTGCCCACCAGCGAATGCGAAATGGTCGGCCTCGGTCGGGCCAATGTCCGCACACAGCTTGCCCTGCAACAGCAACAGCAGCAGCATCAACAGCACCAGCAGCAGCAGCAACAGCAGCAGCAGCATCAGCAGCACCTGCAGCAGCAGCAGCAACAACAGAAGCTGTCCGGCGGCGGTCTAATCAGCAACCAGATGCTCCAGCCGCCACCGCTCACATATCAATCGGCATCGGTGCTATCGAGCGACCTCGATTCGACCAGTCTCTTTGGCACCGAATCGGAGCTGACGCTGGACCGTGACATGACCGACTACAGCAGCGTGCAGCGGCTGCAGGTGCGCAAGAAGCCGCAGCGTCGCAAAAAGCGGGCGCCCAGCATGTCGCGTACCTCCTCATACAGCTCGATCACCGATTCGACCATGTCCCTGAACATCATCACCGTCTCGATCAACATGGAGGCTGTCAATTTTCTGGGCATCTCGATTGTTGGCCAATCGAATCGTGGCGGCGACGGTGGCATCTATGTGGGCAGCATCATGAAGGGCGGGGCCGTCGCATTGGATGGCCGGATCGAGCCGGGCGACATGATACTCCAGGTGAACGACGTGAACTTCGAGAACATGACCAACGATGAGGCGGTGCGTGTGCTGCGTGAGGTCGTACAGAAGCCGGGGCCCATCAAGCTGGTGGTGGCCAAGTGCTGGGACCCGAATCCCAAGGGTTACTTTACCATACCGCGCACGGAACCGGTACGGCCGATAGATCCCGGTGCCTGGGTGGCGCACACCCAGGCGCTAACCTCGCACGACAGTATTATTGCCGATATACCGGAGCCGATCAAGGAGCGGCTCGACCAGAACAATCTCGAGGAGATAGTCAAGGCCATGACGAAGCCGGACAGCGGTCTGGAGATACGTGACCGCATGTGGCTGAAGATAACCATACCGAATGCGTTTATTGGCGCCGATGCGGTCAATTGGGTGCTGGAGAATGTCGAGGATGTGCAGGACCGGAGGGAGGCACGCCGGATTGTGTCCGCAATGCTGCGTAACAATTACATCAAGCATACGGTCAACAAGCTGACCTTCTCCGAGCAGTGCTATTATGTGGTGAACGAGGAGCGCAATCCCAATCTGCGGTCACTCAATCCGCACCAGCAGCAGCATCCGCATCCGCACGGCCAGCATGCGCTCAGTCATGCGGACACGGAGAGCATCACCAGCGACATTGGGCCGCTGCCGAATCCCCCCATCTATATGCCATACTCGGCCACGTACAATCCCAGTCACGGCTATCAGCCGATACAGTACGGCATCACCGAGCGCCACATCTCATCGGGTTCGAGCAGCTCGGATGTGCTCACCAGCAAGGATATATCTGCATCGCAAAGCGACATCACATCGGTTATACATCAGACCAATCAGCTGACCATTGCCGCACATGGTTCGAACAAATCTTCTGGATCTTCGAATCGTGGTGGTGGCGGGGGAGGTGGAGGAGGAGGCGGCGGAGGGGGTGGCAATACCAACGATCAGGATGTATCCGTATTTAATTACGTATTGTAGAAATTCTTTCTTGCAATCAAATTGTGTGTTTTTAATTATTATGGATTTATTATTAATGAATATGTATAATTATTCTTTTTATATACGAGTATACAAAACAAAAAAACAAAAAACAAAAAACCAACAACAAACAACCAACAACCACAACCAACAGCAACAACAATATTAATAATACTTATGTATATGTATGTATCTGTAAGCTATATAGAACGAAAAGTGCAAGATGCAACATGCAAAATGCAAGCGAGATAGAGAGAGAACGAACGAGAGTGAGAGAGAGGACACATCCGGATCGGTTGTGGATATACCTCTGGGATCGGTCCAGATCCAGGATATCAGACGGATATATGAGCGAGAGAGAAAGAGCGGACAACGAGGAAATGAGATCATGATGATGGGATGGATGCATGCGTGGGGACGAGATTTTGAATAAAGTTCTAAGAATTTAGTAATCACAAAAGTAAATAAATAAAAGTAAAACCAAAATATTCCATTGTCTACTCCACTTTCATTTTGATTGTGCCACATGGGTGTCGTGTCGGTTGACATTTCTTATCTGTCGATCCGGTCTAGTCGGTGCTTTTGTACTTTTTTATGCAATATGATTTTTTTTTTGTTTTCTTTAAACTTGAAATTTCTCTAGGAACGCAATGGGAGCCGCTTTGGAAAGCCATTCGAATGCTATTTGAGAGTTTTGATAGACTTTTCGGACTGTAATCGGTTTATTGGAGGAACAATTAAGCAACGCAGCCGACAAATACAGATTTGCAAACATTTTGGAACCCCCATTCGTAGCCATGTCCGTATTTTCTTCTATCGCATTATAATTGTAATTTATCTACATACATATTCATCGTCATTTTTTGTTTCCTTCTACTGTTCCAAGCATTTCTGTTGCAGAAAACAAATGACTATTTAAAAAAACGCGCTGCAGACATCACTTTGATCGGTTTCCAACACCAGGGGCACAGAGTTGCTTCTAAAAGCATCGAATCCACCGGCTTGTCAGCGTATATAAAAATAATAAACGGACCTGCTTTTTACCCAAACAAGGCCAGAATAATATTAACAATGAAAACAGAGCCAGCCATCGCAAAAGCCGCAAATGCTGAGGAACTGGAGTTATATTATTTAATGCTGAAGTCTTGTAATATACCAATATGGGAGTGGCCGTGCCCTGGGCGGCGGGCACCCTCGCCGGGCGCCTATTCTGCGAAAAGAGCGCTGCTTGTGGAAAAGAACGTTGAGGGAAATGGAAAAGAGCTGAAGCAGCAGGCCACCAATGCCGTTGAACAGGATTATGATCCCTTTAAATGACGCGCTTCGTACGGCACGTGGATTCACCGGTTTCCAGCACTTGCGCAGAGATGTTTCGAGAAGCTATCGAATCCAGCGTGCGCGTAAATAAACATAGGTGGAAAAAAATTACCCAAGCAGGCAGATTAACAATGGCAACAGATGTAGAGCCAGTCACAACGGCAGACAAGTTCTCAGCAAATGCTGAGGAATTAGAGAGCTACTATCTAATGCTCGAGGCTGGTACCATACCGGACTTACAGTGGCTATTCCCCGGACGGCGGGCGCCCTCGCCTGACGCCAGTTCTGGGGGGAATAGCAAAGAGCTGGAGCAGGCCACCGATGCCATTGAACAGGAGTAAGAACAGCACCAAAAGCGTAGGCCCCTTATAGATAACATGGCTTTTTATTTGGTTTACTCCCACAGACCGCAGAAGGCGAATGACTTTGACTTCAGCGACGATGTGGCTCCCACACAGATGCGGGTACGCAGCCAGACATCCACGCCGAAGTCGGCCAAAAAGAAGACGGCCGACTTTGCCGGTGTTATGGAGACGCTCAAGAAGAAGAATGCCGAAAGCTCCTAGCATACAGGGAAGCGTAGTATCAGCCATAGGCCGTTCTTCTGATACGACTACGACGCGGAACCTGCATACCTGACTCTGGATTTGAATTGGAGGATCGACAAGGTAATATTTTGTATTTAAGGCACTACCAATCATGTTCTTTCCTAGGCTATTCAATGTATTTGTTTTGTCCACGTTGTATTAAGATGTTTTATGTCTAGCCATTAAGTAAAACACCCCTCAAATGTATTTAAATTTAATGTTCGATTATGCTATAGATCATATATTGCAGCAACAGACTTTAGGGATGCAGAACAAGACAAATATATTAGATATAAATAGAATTAGAAATAGGGTCATCAGCAGGAAATACTTTTTTTTATAGGATAAGGTCTCCTATTGGAGCAGTCCATTTGGGGCATGAGTATTCGTATTCCCTTTTCCTGAAAAATGTGTCCTTGCATCTGGAATTCCCATTGGAATTTATAATACATGTATTATCTTATACTACTATCATACGCATTTTATACATATTTAAATTTAAGCAAACATTTGATATAAACAAAGAAAAAGTAAATAAAAATACACATATGTATATTCCTTTAAAATATAAAACATGGAAAGAATTGAAAAAATTGAACGGAAACAAGAGACAACAAAACTCTCAATTGAGGAAGCGAAAAAGAAGAGTGCAGACAGAGGGTGCGTGCGCTCTCCTTCAGTCTTGTGCAGCGCGTGGTGCGCAGCCTCTTTCAAGATCTGGTCTTAAAAAAGGTTTCACGATATGCTCTGCTGATTCCTTTCTTTTAAATTTTTGTAAACTTTTCCGCGTATCTTTAAACCCCACAAAATAAAAGCATACATGACAAATAATGTCTCAAGGGATTCTATGGCATATAGTAGTCTGTTTCTATCTTTGTCTTTGAGTCGGGCCGGAAGACCCTGCTGCTCTGGCCTATAGACTATACAATAGGAAAATGTTGGACCAAAAAGCTGTCCTGTGGTGGACGCAGTTGGTGTTTTTCGCAGGACGCCTCGTATTTGCCTATGCTTTGGGCAGCCGAGTCGTCCCAGAATCCAACAATAAATACACAGTCTTTGGCGAAGCACAAAATAATACAATAATACAATTGCACGGCATATTTTCTCCGAGACTGGGACCGATTGGGCCTCACCAAATACTGTGTTTTTCTTGTAGGAAGCCGATTAGGCAGCAAGGGGCAGCACATTGGGGTTTATCTTAGTCTACACTTGTATAAATAAATTAATCTTTGAGTATCAAATAGTACCAATCACTCGTAATACGTAATTCTTTTCAAAGATAAGCCCAACTTATGGCATAGCACTGCAATTCAACGTTCCTGAAATTTAAAACACATCAATTAATAGCTATGGAGATCTATCCTATCCAGAGACACAAAGCAAAACATTTAGATATTTTAAACACGTAGGAAATGTAATTTATTTCTGACATATCCTTGTAGTTATAATCAATAATAAGTTATTGTGCCAGTGGGTGGTGCTTGTATGTATGCGATACATTTTTTCGTAAATATATTTGATATTTTATTTTTGATTCGTTTTCTGTTTCTGTGTGTGTGTGTTTTTTTTTTTGTATAGTTATATATATATATTTTTTAATTAAAAATGGCATTGACATCAACATTAATTGACAATACACATCCCTTAGACGCTATATGCGCACATTGTTTTGTTTTAGATTTTTTCTGTTACTTAATCTTAGATTAACACCCGTACATTATGCGGGACACGCACGCACACAGACACACACACATCCATCACATATGCAACTCTAGATCTATTATACTTTTTTTGTGTTTCTTTTTTTTTATGTTTGGGATTTGCACGTGTTTAAGCTTAAGCCTAATTAAAATTATTGATATCTATGTACATTCCTACATTGAGTCTCGTTTATAATACAACACTATAAAATACTCTATTATTTAAAAAAAAGACTATAGGTATATATGTATGTGTATGTATATGATGCACAAGCTTAACAATATTTAACAAAGTTTGCTAAAATATAACACAAGTGATTGAGAATTTGTTTAGTAATATTTTGAGGTGGGTGGGGGGTGGGGGGAACCTAAAAAGTGTGTAGAATAAAGGGGACAGGGTGGGCAGACATTAAACATTAAGCATTAAAAATAAACGATTTACGATTAAGAACCCTTCAGAGGTTCCGTCAATTGCGAGGGTGGGGGTCGGTTTTGTGTTTTTTCAAAACGTACACTTTAAAATGCTAACTACTTACAAACAAGCTATAAATCTGTAAATATACACACATATATATAAAAGCATAGAAAAAGTTTAGTGTTCAGAACACTTGTGGTTTTGACTCTCTTTCTATAGCTCCTGCTCCGGCTCCGGCTTCCCAGTGATGTGCTGCTTCTGTTGCTTGTGCTGTTATTCATGATTCTGATTCCGTTGTTGCTGTACTTGTACCCGTGTCCGCCACATTATTACCTATTTGGGCAGTAATAATCTCTATAATTTGACTAAATGTGGGTCGGGCACGTGGCACGGGATTCCAGCAGGCGAGCATCAGTTCGTTGTATACGAAATCTGGACAGCCCGGCGACTGGGGTAATCTATAACCACAAAAATATAAATTATTGAGGCTAATGGCAGAAATATAGCAAAAACGCAGACGATAGAAGACAGGAGGCGATACTCCAGCAATTTGAATTCATTAGTTTACTCACCTTTCACCATTGTTGAGGCGATCGGTGAAATTTACTTCGTTTTCCTGTGGCGGAACCAGATTTGGTGCCTCGCCATGTGTGAACATCTCATAGAGCGTCACGCCATAGCTCCAGACATCCGAAAACGATGAGAATTTACCGGTAGTAATGGCCTCCGGCGAATACCTATTGTTGGAATTGTTGTCGAAAGTTAGATCTGGGTGGGCGGGGCTTCAGGCTTGACACCTACCATTTGAAGGGTATATCTCGTTTGCTTTTGGCATAGTAGTAGCCCTCAGAGTTGGCAAACTGCGCCAGACCAAAGTCCGAGATCTTCACACAGTCCAGATCGATGTGAGTCTTTCGATCCACCAGAATATTGCGGGCAGCCAAGTCACGATGTATCAGACCCTTGCCAGACAAATAATTC